GGGGGAGAAGAGACTTGAGTCTAAACTCCATTTTAAAGCCTGCCTGGCTGCCTGCTTCTACAACCACCACAGTCCCTCACAGAATATTTTCTGATTTTAAAACAGACTTTAGAGCTACATTTTAACCACGCATTTTAAAACTAAAATGTACACTGCAAGACCCATCAGAGCACAGAAACATAACCTCCCCACCTAGCCCTACCCCCAAGCTGCAAAAAACCCTGCACAGTACAGTAAATACAGTGTGCTCACCCAGAACATGTAGTCTCTCTGTTTAAAAAGTCAAAAAAAATAAAAAAAATAAAAAAGCCAAAAAAAAAAGTCCGTACAGTACCAGGCAGTCTGAAGTCTCTTTCCGTATCCACACACTCTAACCGCTGGGGCAAGCGAGGTAGCAGAAAAGCAGCCTCTTTGCTGGCCAAAGGTTAACTGAAAGTTCACATTTCCCGCCTTTCCCGTTTTTTTTCTGTTTGTAAGTAGAATCTCCATTCGCAAGTAGAAGTAAAATTTTGCAAACAGAGCTGTTTGTAAGTTGAAGTGTTCGTAAGGTAGGGATGTTCATAAGTAGAGGTTCCACTGTACTTCTTCGGGTCTCCTGCACCTGTCCTGGACCCAGGGTCCTTCTGGGGAAGAGGAGGAGCCCATCCCATCACATCCCCATGGGTTGCAATGCTTTTAAGATCCAGGCATCCCTGCCGTGGACTGGCCTGGGAAAGTAGAGGGCATTTTGTGTCCATCAGAGATGAGGGCAGAAGCTGCTCTCTGCAGCTCTCGCTTTCCCCTGTTCTTCCATAACGAGCAGTGGGATAATGATTTTTCCTGGTGAACCAAGAGTTGATTGGGATCACTGGCCAAAGTAGCCATTGGCCAGTAGCCCAACTGATTGTATTTTTAAATTGTGTGAATTTTAATGTTGTGAGCTGCTTTGGGTCCCTTGTTGGGAGAAATGCGGCATAATAATAATAATAATAATAAGAAGAAGAAGAAGAAGAAGAAGAAGAAGCAGCAGCAGCAGCAGCAGCATCTGTTTTTACATAGTCTCTTGGTTGTTCTCCTAGTGCTTCTAGCAGGAGTTCAAATTAGGAAGTAAATCCATGGCTTGACTCCTCTCTGACCCCACAGAGCTGCACCACAGAACAGGCACAGACATTTGTGCAGGCTATTGATTTGCTGAAAAAGAAGAGAGGGAAGAAGAGGTCAACATCTTCTTCTCCCCCAGTTAACATATTGCGAGATATAAGCAACAATATTGTGCTTCCAGGCTGAATGATGATGATGATGATGATGCCGCTTTTCTCCCAACAAGGGACCTAAAGCGGCTCACAACATTAAAATTCACACAATTTAAAATTCACACAGTAAGTTGGGCTACTGGCCAATTATTACATTTTGCCCTAAACCTTTGTCTTTTACTGAGCCCAAACATATATTAAGTTCCAACTCTGTTTTTACATAGTCTCTTGGTTGTTCTCCTAGTGCTTCTGAAAGTGTGTCTAATTCTGCGATATCCAACAGTTTCTTTAGGAACTCCCCCATCGTAGGTATTTCTTCACTTTTCCATTTTTGGGCCCAGAGTAACCTAGCAGCTATGAGTATATACATTAAACAATATTTGATTTTCTTATCAGTAATTTCCGACATAATATTTAATAGTGCTATTTCAGGTTTAAAATTTATTTTCTGTTAAATGGTTTCTTTTATTATTTCCCCCACATGTGTCCAATATCTCTTGACTTTTTCACATGTCCACCACATATAATAAGCTCCTGCTTTTTTTACACTTCCAACAAACATTGCTATTACCCTCTGACATTTTTTCCAACCTTATAGGGGCATAGTGCCATCTATAGAACATTTTGAGGATATTTTCTCTTAAATTTGCCAGCTTAATCATTTTATGACATTCTTTCCACATCATTGTCCAATCATCAATATTGATTGCCCATTTTGTCATCGTCTCCTTTACTCTCTCATCCTCCATATCATACTCCAATAGATATATATACATTTTTAAAATTATTTTCTCATCAGTATAGATCCACAGTTTATCCACCTGGACTTCACCCTCAAAGAAGCCCACAATTTTATCTTTTTTGTATCTCGATTCTAATTTGTTCATTGACCACCAATCTGTTGCCACCCCAAGTTCCTCTAGCTCTTGCTTATTTTTTATGTTCTTTATTAAGTAATTATTTATATGTTAGTAGCACTCCTTTCTGATTCGACAAAGTAAGTGCTTCTATAGGCGCTACCCATGTTGGGATTTTCTTATAAGTTTGTGCTTGAAATTTTTGCCACACTAGGCATAGTGCCTTTCTCACAATGTGTTCCATAAAATGTGATTGCTCCTTGTATTTCCCATACCACACATATGCATGCCAACCCATTCTTAAATCATGTCCCTCCAATTTCAGTAATCTTTGGTTTACAAGAATTATCCATTCTTTTATCCACATCATAGGACAAGCCTTATAGTATAATAGCCAGTTCGGTAGACCTGAACCCCCCCTTTTTTTTCAAGTCCTGTAATAGCTGTTGTTGTTGTTGTTGTCGTCTTAGTCCCATTAAAAGACCAGGTGGAAGGTGATCAGCTATGTAAGCCACAAGCTAGCATAGTTGAACCCCCACCCCCACCCCTGACCATCTTGGGAAAAAGCAGCAACTTTTACTTCAAGGAGTCCAACACTGTCCCAGACAACCCCCAAAATGTCCCATTCAGGTTTCACAAACTCAGCATTGCCAACAGGAAAACCATGGCTGGGAACTTTCCATTTCATAATCATTGGTCTAAAACCAGTTATTTTCTCTTTTTACCCTGCAGAAATCCCGGGGGAATTCTAGCCGGGCTCACAGTGCAATAGCAGATGAAATCATTCATCAACCAGTACATGAGAGATTTTTACTACCTGATAGTTTTTCCAGGCCCAACACATCACATTCATTTTGGGTAAGTTGTATCAGGGTTGAATCCAGACCTAGATAGGTAGATATTGTGGCACTTTCATTGTGGAATGTATCCCACATGCAGACCTGATTGGCAGCAATGTTGGTCTCATTTTGATGCCAAGTGAAAACCTAGATATTCATTTTAAGCATAGGAATCATGGCCTTAACAGAGGAGTTCTTTTATAGTGCCTCCCACGTGGGTTTTTTTTCAGTTCTTAACTCAAATCTAAGTATGTAAGTCAAGTCAATATTTTCCTATGAGAGTGGTTCTTAAGTCAAAATGTTCTTAACTCGAGCCGTTCTTAAGTCAAGACCCCACTGTATATGGTTTTAAATTGCTTCACATGTTTTAAATCATTTTAGTTTATTCTTGTTTGTTGTTTTGAATGGTTTTATTGTCTGTAACAGTACTTCTTGTGGGTGTTATATATGTTGCTCTAAAATGTTATTAGGTTTGTATACTGCTTTAGCTAGCTAGATACAGTAGCTCAGTGGTTTAGTTATCTGGCTGCAGAACCAGAGGTTTGGAGTTCAATTCCCCACTGAGAAAGGCCAGCCTGTGTGGTCTTGGGCAAGCTACACAGTCCTGGAATGCCCTCGGAAGAAAGAAACGAAAGACCTGAGTGTTCTCTACCTGGAAAAACCTGAAAGGGTCACCATAAGTCAGAAATGACTTGACTGCACATGATTATGTGTTTCATTATGCTAAATATTAACTAAAATTGCTCATATCTTATCTTAAGAGGCTATTCGATTTCACCAGTGTAAAAAGAATTTAATTTTGAACACTTGATTGCTTTCACCTTCTAAAAACAGCATGGTCATTCATGAGTCTGGTGGTTACTGTTATATTGGGAAGACTTTCCAAAGTGTTGTTTAAACATTGCATTTTTTTAAAAAAAGCCTCAGTGATATAGTGTTTAAGGATCTTTTGGGCTTCTCATAAAAACTGATCACTAATCTCTTGATTAACTGATCTCCGGGTGGAAGGATTATAAATGTAATTTTTGTTTTTAATTGGGAATATTTGTTACAGAAGCATAGCTTGATGTCTGTGCTGCTTGCCATTATATACAGTATACCTATATTGAGCTGGGAAAACTGTATCCAGTGAGCTCTATGCAGCCCTTGGGGTGTGTTTTCCCAGCCACAAGGCTTCCCCAGAGCATCCCCATTACATGATTTTAACTGGGAGAGGTCTGTCTGCACTGCTGGAGTTTTATATTAGGGCTTGGTGGTTTCCCCCCAAACCTTCTCTGCAAAACAATAAATCAAAACTAGAAATCCTCTTCCAGGTCCTTCCTGTTTTCTTTTCTTTTTTTTTTTTAAAAGAAGTTATTTCTACCTCTTTTCTCATGCGGCTCGAACGTAATCATATAATAATTCTATTTCATTTTTTAGCCAGACTCGCCGTATCGTCGTTCTTGCACTGTAATTGATTATGTTAACCAACCAAGAAATAATAAAGGATCTTCTGGAACAGGTATGTGCAAAAGTGAACACACGTTGCCTAAAATTAATTTTTGTATGCCAAGCACTACTATACAACAATTTTAATATTGCAATCTTTGTTACTCTACAGATTCTATTAACGTAGGAGTGATGGGAGTCAGTTTAGGGATATCTAGCTCTTCCTATATTAATTCTTTCCACCACCAGCCTCTTGGTCATTTTCTTGATGAGGATGAGGAGGACAAAGAACATCCTCCACTGGGTAAGAAGTAAGAGGCAAGACATCTGGAAGTCTGTGTCAGGCATTTACTTGCATTTCATAAAATATTTAGCACCCTTTTTGAAATGTAGGTGTTGATCATTATCAAATATTTACCATTTGTTATGTTTTCTGTGTAGCATACCTGCCAGTGTTTACTTCAGTTGTATTTATTCATTCAGTACACCCTATATGCCAAGGGGGATAGGATTGAACTGGTGAATCACTTGTCCTCCATGTCAGTGTGAAGCTGATGATGTGCTTCACACAGAGGAGCCCTACAGTTGTACATCCCAAATGCCTTCTAACCAGGAGTGTGTGTTCAGGTAACCTGACCTAGGTAAAGGCAGGTGGTGGCAGTGCGGGTTAAACTGCAGAAGCCTCTGTGCTGCAAGGTCAGAAGACCACAGTCGTAAGATCGAATCCATGTGACGGAGTGAGCTCCCGTCACTTGTGCCAACTCCTGCCAACCTAGCATTGAAAGCATGTAAATGCGAGTAGATAAATAGGTACCACCATGGTGGGAAGGTAACGGGGTTCCATGTCTAGTCGTGCTGGCCACGTGACCACAGAAATGGTCTACGGACAAACACTGGCTCTACGGCTTGGAGACAGGGATGAGTACCGTGCCCTAGAGTCAGACACAACTGGACTAAATATCAAGGGGAAAATTTACCTAATCACAAGTGTGTGTTCAGGTAACATGACCTAGATGGAGTCATATAAAGAGATTAATCCAGAGAAATGGTATCTCACATTCAGTTTGTGCTATAAAGGGACAGGAAGCATAAGGGGTCTATCTCCTATCACTTCATAGAACTGTTGCATATGAAGCTATGTCTGTTAAAACTTTATCAGCAAGCATATATAATTATTTCAGTTCCAGAGAAAATATGGTTAGTGATCACTCATGTCACTAACAGATATTTCTCACCAGATTTTAGAATCCTGTTTCTGAGGACAATGTTTACATAATTATTACTGGAATTGTTGGTACAATCCAGTAATTGCTGGAACAATCCTCTTATTTGGGTTTTAGTCTGCACTTTACAAGGTCAATAAGGTGCTGAACCTTTCCCCAAAATATGTGCAACCTTTGGATGACTTTTGCAAAGTGCAGACTAAAACCAGGAGTGGATTCATAGTTCCTACTACGAGTAGTTCGTACTACTGCCATTGGAGTTGCCAACGCCACTGTCCTGAAGGCTCTTTTTGTGGCTCCACACACACCCTATTCTCCCACCCCAGCAAAAGTAGGTGATTTACTGTTCCTGGAAGCTTCGAGGAGCTGTGATTTATCTAAAATAGACTGCACCATTGATACAAAAACTGCCAGGTTTTCAAAACTGAAGGTGGAGTTCCACCTATTTGTAGTTTGTTGGGGGTGAGCAGGTATTTTTAGTTGGTTATTCAGCACCTCCCTGGCACCCTGCTCCCCCAAAAAAATCCTCAAGGCAAAAAATTGCCTTTGTGGGTGCACCAAAAAAGGCAGCTTTCTGCAAAGGGAAGTTTCACACTAACTTGTAATACCAGAGCAGGTAGGGTTGCTCATTAAATATTGAGATTGGGTATCTCTGTTGCAGGAACCAAGTAGCTGCAGTTCCCTTGGTCACTTTCACAACACTTGGGTAATGGTATAATATGGGAAGGATTGATGGTATGATGATTTCTTACACCAGTATATCCAGACACAGAGGATGTAACTACTGCTAGTGGTCTCTCCCATGTGATCACAGTATCGTATAGCTAGCACAGTGATATGGGAGGTATCTACTGGAAAATAGCAGCTGAGAAGCTGGGCCTGGCAGCACATTCCAGCTTGCAGCAGCTCAAATGGCACAAGCCTTTCCCATCTCCAGGCTTTCAGTATTGAAACGCTTGCCCCTTTAGAAGTATGTCTCTATGAAGACAGTTATGTTCTTATAAACTGTACTGTATGCCTTTTTGAATCACCCTTAATCAGTGTATTGTGAATATAAGCATCAGTAAGTAACTGTTAACCTTTCCAAAGGCATGAAGTAGACTTTTGAGTACTATACGTGCTTTCATAGTCTTGTCTGGTTTTTGCTCAGTAGGTCTTCATTTACATGGTTCTGTGAGAACTCACAGCCGAGGTGGGTCAAGAAGCAGACAGGGTCTATAGAATGTTATGAGAAGACATCACCCGGGTCCCAGATGAATGAGCATCTACAGAAGCTTTGGAAATCAGTATTCAACAATAATAACACTAAACCTGTTTACAGAACACCAAATCTTTCTTTACAGAAGAATCTTATTTTTGTATAAACCTAGCCAGGTGCCAAAGACTACAAGGTTGTGTTGGATTGTTTTCTCCTGTGGTCTATTCTATGGGAAGCTGAAAGCTTGAGTTCTAGAAATCTACCAAACTCTAGCATCCTGTTGCTCAACATTCCATTAAAAACAAGTGTCTTATTGCAATATCCAATTGACTTTCCACTAATTGGTATTTAATGTCAATATCCATTTGACAGTATTAAGTTATATTTCTTTTTGGAAGACGCTTGCAGTTATTTCTCTAATTATATAAAAGATTGGAGACTGTCAGTACCAGCTGTCCATGTACTTAAAAAAAAACATACAGAAGCTGATGTCTGCAAGGAAGCCAAGATTAAAAGCTTATAGCATACTTATATTTATTAATGTATTTAGATACAGGGTTCCATTATTTTCCAATGAAACCCATACCTCTTCAGCCAGTGACTTGGCTGAGACTGCAAGGGACTTGAACAACTGTGTTTTTAGTTTCCCTTGTTCTTAAGTAAAGCAAGAAGTTTGGTAAAATTTCATTGCACCAGTTTCTGTACAGCAGTCAGGCTCAGTTTTAGAGTTCTCTTACTGAGGAGAGAGGTAATATTTGTAGGAGATGTGCCTAGAGAGAGATTATAACTTAGAAAAAGCATAGCCAAGACTGAATATTGAATTTCATGTCTGCTATAATTTTATTACCAATTAGTTTTAGTATTACTAGTCTAAGTGCCAGAGTGCAAATGTATGAAGCTATGTAAATTAATGATAACTTTGCATTATATTCTAGATACCATGTGAACATTGTAAATGCCAGGATAGGAACAGATTATTATTAAATTATAAAATGGAATACTTTTTATACTCAAATAAAAAATATTTTCTAAACTGCATTTGAATTGTAATTAAAGATCAAGGTTGAGGCCTGGCTCTTGGATTTAGTGGTTGGTAGCCTCTCGAAACTAGTCTTCAGAATATTTAATTATATTTTCAGTCTGCATTTCCACCCAGGAGCTGGTTAGTATACCACATAGCTTTCACACCCCTCCATTTTAACATTACAACAAACTTGTGAGAGATTTGGTTAAAAGACTGGTAAGCTCAACAGAATGAAGTTCAAGGTGGAGGGAGATTTGAACCTGGGTCTTCACTGTCTCAGTGTACTGTAATACAGTGGTTCCCATCAGTATATTGGAATATATAGTCCTAGTATGGAAATTCTAAAGAGGGCTGTAAAACATTTTTGTAGAGGTGGAACCGTTCCACCTTTGGAGGCTGGTCTTCTCATTAAGAGGTGGAACCAATGTATTGAATGGTACCTCCAGCGGTGCAATTCCTGATTGCAGACCAGCTCTCGCTAGTAGCAGAGCAACAGGTTTAAATTCTCTTTGAAGAAATGTAACTCTGTTACATTTGAAATTTCTTCTTCTTACCTAACACATCTTAAAGTTCATGATGGGGAAGGGATGGTGGTTCTTTTCTCCTACCCTTCCCTGTGTTTTTTCATTTATTTTATTTATTTATTTTATGTACACCCTCCTATCTGGTCTTGCGACCAATCATACTATGTTGTTGTTGTTGTTTAGTCATTAAGTCATGTCCAACTCTTCGTGACCGCATGGACAAAAGCACGCCAGGCCCTCCTGTCTTGCACTGCCTCCTGGAGTTTGGTCAAATTCATGTTGGTAGCTTCAATGACACTCTCCAACCATCGTATCCTGTCGTCCCCTTCTCATCATTGAGCCCAAGAAAGTAAAATCTGTCACTGCCTCCATATCTTCCCCTTCTATTTGTCAGGAGGTGATGGGACCAATGGTCATGATCTTAGTTTTTTTAATGTTGAGCTTCAGACCATTTTTTGCACTCTCCTCTTTCACCCTCATTAAGAGGTTCTTTAATTCCTCCTCACTTTCTGCCATCAGAGTGGTATCATCGTATAATGTACACCCCTCCTATCTGGTCTTGCGACCAATCATACTATATTGTTGTTGTTTAGTCATTAAGTCATGTCCAACTCTTCGTGACTGCATGGACAAAAGCATGCCAGGCCCTCCTGTCTTTCACTGCCTCCTGGAGTTTGGTCAAATTCATGTTGGTAGCTTCAATGACACTCTCCAACCATCGCATCCTGTCGTCCCCTTCTCATCATTGAGCCCAAGAAAGTAAAATCTGTCACTGCCTCCATATCTTCCCCTTCTATTTGTCGGGAGGTGATGGGACCAATGGTCATGATCTTAGTTTTTTTAATGTTGAGCTTCAGACCATTTTTTGCTCTCTCCTCTTTCACCCTCATTAAGAGGTTCTTTAATTCCTCCTCACTTTCTGCCATCAGAGTGGTATCATCAGCGTATCTGAGATTGTTGATACTTCTTCTGGCAATCCTAATTCTGTCTTGGGATTCATCCAGTCCTGCCTTTCAAATGATGTATTCTGCATATACGGTAAGTTAAATAAAAAGGGAGACAATATACAGCCTTGTTGTACTCATTTCCCGATTTTGAACCAATCAGTTGTTCCATATCCAGTTCTGTTGCTTCCTGTCCCACATATAGATTTCTCAGGAGATAGGTAGATAAATCATACTATACAAAACATTTAATACTAAATGAAACTGAAAACACATAACCTTCTCCAATACTTCTTAATTTTTAAAAGTATGATATATAAAACAATCTCCACAGGCCAGGACAAGGAAGGCACTAGCATTCCATTGAGGCCATGACTTTCAGGATTTGAAGAGCTACAAAGACAACAGTCACTTGAGTCCTTTGCTATTTTCTGCTTGTACCTTCTCCCTGGCAACTGGGACTGCTTGTGCTTGTTGCTGCTACCATGAGAACTAGGAGTTGTGTGTGTCCAGCCTTTTTCTCTCCTGCAAAATCTGTGGCTTCTCTTGGTGCTGAAAGGAAAAACAACTTGTCAAGAAAACCAGGTTGAGCAACAAGGCAGGACAGGCCCTGCACATGGAAGGTTTCTTCCATGCCAGATTGATCAAGTCATGGACATGTGAATAGTGTTCATGGCAGAACTGGTCAGTTAGTGCATCATCAAGTCAGCAAGTTCTGCTCCTTACCATGGATCATTAATAAATTCAGTAGCAATTCTTATTGAAAGTGAATTTTTTGGAAGCCTTTAATAAATTTGTGAAAGAAAGACTTCGAGGATTAACTAAAACTTTATGTAAACGTGAAGGTTTTTGCTAGCACCACCTATCTCCAGGCTGAGAATCAGGTTTGGTAGATTATAGGGCTGGGGAACATAATATCTCGGACCATAGGTGCTTTACTGTTGGAGATGATGGTTAGGGCTGCTGAAGGTTGTAGGAGTCATAAATTTGGAGGGGTAGAGTTGCCCACTGCTGAGGAACAGTGAAGACCACCTGAAGATTTCCAATATTAGCAGTAGTTTTCACTGGATGTCACACAGCTGATTGCAGAGCTCTAGCATACTATGCTGCAGCTATGTAAGATCTCTGTTTCTACAATTGGGAGGCAGATATGAGCCCTCAGTTGTTGGGGATGGTTGTTCTGGTGCCTAGCTCTGGCAAAGCACCATAGGTAGTACTGTTTCAGATCAAATACAGCAAAAGACTGAAAGACAACAGAAGGCACTTCGTATAGTAAAAGAAAGAGACCTCCAGCGGGCCCTGTTTCATTGTGTGAAGGGCAATTTTAACAGGGGAAATCCTCCTTGTCTGAGAACTGCAATTTATAGGAAAGAAATTCCTTGATATTTTAACAAATCTGCTGAAGGATTGCCCTAATTCCGCTCTTTTATGCAAGTGGCTAGGCCACATGAAGATAATATTCCTATAAATATTAATAAAGATGCATCTGGCCAATTTTAGGGGCCCTTATGAATTTCAACATGTATAAATATTAACTAAATGTACATCACTCTGTTCCCCGTTAATAAATGAGGATAATTCACTTGAATAGATGCGAGTACATGCAACTCTGATAATGAAACTACCACTTACAGCACGACTGAAATCATTCAAGTTGAGCCATAATCATTTTCTGTAGCACCCATACTCTTTATGAAGTCCTCCAAACAGGCTTACTATGATAATTATATGATAATTCTATTATACTAAACAACATTACTTGCTATATCTTATCAGTGTTTTCCTTTACAGAACTTTATGGAAAGATCATCCCAAATTGTGTTAGCCATATATATTCCTCATGTAAGAATAATTTTTCATACACTTCAAAAACATCTTTTATTTATTTTATCAAGTGTTTAAAACCTCAGCAAGCAAAATTTGCCTCATTTGATAAGCGTTTTAAAAAGTTACTTAACTATTGCCAAAATCAGTAATGTTTTGCAAAAATACAGGTTAGCACTATTTTTAGACTTTGATAGAAAGTTTTCTGTATCAAGAGTATCCTCACTGTTCATAGCAACCTTTTCTGACCGCTGCAATCCTGTCAGACAGCATCTAGAATCCCACAGCACTTTGAGGAGTTTCTTGGCATCTATTGTTTTATGTCTCTTTTGCTGGATGTCTCTTCTATCCTACAGCAATGTGTTGATGAAAGCATCTTTTAATACCTGGCATTCCTAAAATGATGTTAAAGTTGGTCATTTTATTCCTTTCTTGGACGCTGTTTTCTTTCCTCCTTTTTTGGCTTTATTTCCATATTTTTCTTCCATCTGAGTCAGAAAGTCATCCATTTCCCTTTTTCGGTTTTCATTTCTCTTCTGTTAAATAGATCAAACACAGGATAAAAAAGCTCACAAATGTTTCATTAGATTTTAATATAAAAGGCTCAGTACTTTATCAGAATCATTGAAAAGAAGAAACAACTGCAAACCATCATCTTAGAACTACAGAGTTGGAAGGGACCCTATGGATCATCAAGTCCAGCTCCTGTCAAGGTGGAACTGTGAGGAATCAAACTCCCAACCTTTGACTCTGCAGCCAGAGACCAACACCACTGAGTTATCCATTAATGTGTATACAATAAACTAAAAATATTAAATTGCTATTAAGCACGAAAAATACTGTCCCAAATAAACCAGGAAGAAGAAAATACAATTCTATCACTGCAGATAGAATGACTACCAGTTTGCTGTTCCTTATTTCTTTCTATTTTGCTTTAAATTTCAAATGTTTATATCTCATTTTTCCTCAAAAGGACCCATGGTGGCTTACAATATTCAAATGAAACAATACAAAAATATAAAAACAGGGATGAGAAGCTAATTGCAAGTGAGATTTCATACTGCTGGCATGTGAATTCCCTGGCATAGCCAATGGCCTGATCACTGTATGACCCAGATACCAGCATCATACATATGAAAAAAAGACTTTTTGTTCTAGTATGAATAACTCTACACTTGCTCATTGCCAACCAGGGTGGATTTTAAAAATCAATTATTTTTTAATCTGTCAAAAAGTCCAACTTCCAAAATTTCAATCCTGTTGCCAGCTACTATTTGCCACTTTATTGGTTTCTCATCCTGTTCCGATAGACTTCCTAAAATATCTTTGCAGTTTCTTCTGGACTTTCATGAACTACAGTATTTGATTATCATAACTGTGTTTGTCTTACTGCTCACTTAAGATCCCACATAATTTACTATAAAAATATACAATATAACCCAAGTTAAAATACAAATCCATAAAGGATCTCATTCATTTTAGCTTTCAAACTATCCTAATGCTGAATATTAATATTAATTTTGCAATACAAATAAGTTTAAATAATTAAAAATCAGGTTTTTTTCAGTAAAGGGTATTGCTAGATATAGTGAATCCTATCTTTCTCCAACCTTACCTGAATTAGTGCTTTCAGGTCATCTTCACCTTCACCAAGACCTAGTTCTTCTCTGGATTTTTCTGCCTCTTTAGCTTCTTTTTCGGCCTGAAATAATAACATGGCTGTTTAATCTTGAGCTTTTTTCCTAGGCAAGTATTCTATTGCAATAGCCAACAACAGCAGAATCAACATGCAATAAATAGTAAATAGTTTATTTTCCAACCCTTCTTGATTTGTAGCATAACAGTACTCAAAATGTTCTGGGAACTAGTTGAAAAGGGCTGAATAGACATGCCCTTAACAAATTTTAAAAATCCTTTAGAAGTATTTATGCATTTTTCAACTAATTCCTAGGACAGTTTGAATACTGCTACTGGATATAGGTCCTAGAGCAAAGAGCAACATCACAGTAGGCATTAAATGATGATCATGCAATCTGTGTCCTAAATATGAAATGAAATTCTACAAAAGATTCATTTGAGGCTTCATAATTATAATAGAGCAAAAATGTTTAGGATTCTTGTTCCATAAGACTGTTTGAAATGTGGTGGGTTTGCTCAGTTGTGTACAAGTAGTAATGCCTTAAGTATGTATTTCCTGGATAGCCTCCAAGTTGAAGAGGTGCAAGTAGGGAGCTCTTCTACCCTTTCTCCAACTGGGAAATAGAACAGGGCCAACACAAAAATTAAGAGGTCTGGATTCAATTTTAGAAAACCTCAAAAGGTGTTACATTTGAAGAGCTGGCATGCAATGAAAATCAAAAACATGTCAGACATATGTCTCTAAAACATTAAGAATTTCATTCAATTATACATTTTCCCCTTTATATTTTATTGCCAGCAAACATACCCTTCTTTTCCTTGCATTTATCTTTTGCTTAGACTCTTTTACAAAGGCTTTATAGGATGGAAGTTCTCCAGAGTCAATGGCCTGCTGGATAATCTTTCTTATTCTGGGTTCATCCGTATAATCAACACACAGCACAGATTCCATAATTTTGTCCATATCTCCTTTAAAGTCCTCATATGCTGCTTTAACATCCTCTAGTTCTTCCGCAGAATCTTTGTACTTCTTCTCAAAATCTTCGATGTCTTTTACAGTTATCTAATAAATTTTCAAAAGATATAAATTCCATGAACAATGTTCTTCCTTCAGTGTGAAGTTACACAGTATATACATAGCTATTTTTCATCCATAGCTACTTAAAAATTACATTCCCCTCTAATGGAAAAATTAGGTTCATGTATGAGCCTTTACAGAGGAATATGCTGTGCATGCAAAAGTAGACAGCCAGAAGCAGGTGGAATTTATATTTATTAATTGATTCTCATTTCCTTATTGGCAAAATAGAAGTGCTTACCAAAGGGGAGATTTCAGCCATTTGTCCCTCTTTCCCACTACATCTAATCTCCAGCAACAATAGTGCTGTACCTCTTTTAAAAATATATTTTTATAAGTGCACTATAGCAAATTTCACTAGGGAACAAAAGCAAGGAATAGGATAAAAATACCATTTACATTTCCCAAAATGTAGCAGTGTTAGTCTAGAGTAGAGATGGGGGTATTTGTATTCGTAAATGTATACGAATATCCATATCCCAGCTGAACCTAACGTGGGTCCAGCCCCTGGGACTGCCACATCCACTCGCATGTCTTGGCACTGTGAAGGTCCCGCTCTTCCCACCAATTGCAGTAGCTCTGCCATCCCCCTATTTGGCTGAATACTCTAGGCAGGGGGCTGGAGGACGAGTCTCCCTGAATGACTGTTGAGTGGCCAGCCAAGCAGGGACATAGAGGAGCTACTGCCACAATTGTTGGGAAGAGCAGGACCTTTATGGCACCAAGACATGTGACTGGATGGGCTGGTCCAGGAGCCCAAACTCACATTAGGTGCAGCTGAGACAGGGATACTTGTATTTATTGACAAATATGAATGCCCCCATCTCTAGTCTATAGCACACACATAAAAAAGGCCAGTTTCCTGTTCATTGTGGACTGTGCTTCTGTGATTGCTCAACTTGCTGCTGAACAAGCTAGAGAGCATCCCTGTAGAGCAATGGTCTCCAACTTTGGGCCTCCAGATGTTCTTGGACTTCAACTCCCAGAAATCCTGGGCAGCAGAGTTGGTGGGGAAGGCTTTTGGGAGTTGTAGTCCAAGAACATCTGGAGGCCCAAGGTTGGGGACCACTGCTACAAGACAGCTGCTTATGCAAGCTCTGGGAAAACCCCAGAGAGCAACAGAGCACCATTCATGTCGAATGGAGCAAGAGAATACTGATCAAAAAGTCCTGTGGTACCTTAAAGACTAACACATTTATTATATTCCACTATACTTAATGAAGTACGGGATTTATAGGAGCAGTGAATGTCAGATCATTTATCCTGTGGTCCAGTGCATGAGCTGTCTAGCTGAAGAGGATTCTGGCCTTAGAAAATGTTGGCAATTTTGTCCTTTGGACAACCAGCCCTGCAGAACCCAACTTTTACCTACTTTTTTGAAGAGTAGCCTCCAGTACTCCTCCCAGTTACGGTCCTGGGTCAGCACCGTTGACTCCTCGTCCACAATCCCCTGCTCGTCATACAGAGCTCGCTGCTCCTTATCACTTAGCACTGCATACACCTTACCTAGGATCTGAGAGAGAAGACAACTCAGTAGTAAACAACCACCCCTTCCTTTCCTCTTCTTCTCTAAATGTCTACTTTGTATTGCCCTATGCTATTATAATGTTATCATCATCAACAAAATTTGGAAAGATTGTGTGTCCCTAAATCTAGATCCAGCCCTGTGATCCAATCCTGTTGGATCCTAAACTGAGCAACTGATCTCCAAAGTTCTTTTCCAGCTGTATGGATCTTCACAACTATAAAATGTTCATGACCAGAGCTGGCGCTTAGCACTAATCACAGAACCCTTCTGGGATGCACATCTTAACATGGTGAAGGTTTGAGTGTGTCAGAAAAACTGAGAGCAATACTCTCAGGAGGCCACACTCCATTATGAGCCTGGACTCCTAGCAAGGTCACCCAAGGTGCAATGATCACAACTGAGACAATAAAACTTTTATCAAAAGTAACTGCTGCATCAGCAGAAGAGAATGGATAGTTCATTGGGAATGAATGTGGCATCAACTGGGCAGCAGCGGTAACTGAAAGTGACACTGGTGGAGGAAGCAATGGTGGTGACATTAAAGCTAACTTTTATTAGTAGTGCACAGAAGGTTGCAGGGGTAAACCCCCCTTACACTTTCCTTACCATGAAAACCCCATGATAAGACAACCCAAAATCAAACAAGAGACAATGCTGTAGGATGAGACTCCCAGATCAGAAGCACTGAATCAACTACTGTGGAAGAGCAAAGAACAAGTATAAATAGCTCTTTCACTAATGATGCAACTAGATAAAAGCTGAAAGGCGATTTGTGGCTGACGTACAGAGAAGTGAAAAGAAAGTCCAATGCTGCACAACATATACAATTGGAACATGGAATGTGAAAAGTATGAAACAATGTAAACTGGAAAGCATAAAGCAAGAAATAGAATGAAGAAACAATGCTTGGTGTCGGTGAACCAGAATGGGACATTTTCAGTCAAACAACTACAAAGTGTTCTATTCTGGAAATAACAACTGTAGAAAAAATGGAGTAGCTTTAATACTGAGGCAAGATTTAGTACCGGTAATTAGGGGCTATAATGCAAAGGCTTTTATCTTATATGGAGTGAGAAATGCCTGATGTTCAAGCTGGATTCTCAAAAGAAAGGCGCACTCGAGACTATATTTCAAATATCTGCTGGTTACTGAAGTGCACCAAAGAATTTCAGAAGACGATCAGTTTATGTATAGACTACAGCAAAACCTTTGACTTTGTGGATCATGAGAAACTATGGGTTGCTCTGAAAGAAACTGGTGCACTTCAGCACTTGATTGTCTTAATGCATAACCTGTATTGTGGACAACAAGCTACCATTAGGATAGAATATGGAGATAGAATAGTTTCCTATAGGCAAAAGGAAAGACTGAAGGGAGTGCACAGATGACGGTATAAAATTTATCAGACAAGAGTACATTTTATGCCCTTATCTGTTTAATCAGGAAGCAGAAAATATCAAACAGAAAAGCCAGATTGGATTCTGATAAAGGAGGAATGAAAATTAGTGGAAGAACCCAAATTATTTAAGAGATGTAGATGACACTATTTTACTTGCAGTAAGCAGGAATGACTAGAAATGACTTTTAGAGAAAGTGGAAGACGAAAGTGCCAAAGCAGGAGTGCATTTGAATATAATAACAATGGAAACTCATTGAGGGAGAGGAACTGGTAAAATCTCTCCTTAAATATATATGTTGCCTTGCAAGCCCTGTGAGGGTCGTTATATGTGGTTCCGACTTGACTGCACAGACTCCCCCCAAATATACAGTTACTAAAATGGATTAAAGAAACACCACCTTTAAAAAAAGCGGCGGCAAACAAAAGCAACACGAAAGCTCAATCCAGCCCACACTCCGGCACCCTGTCCCTGAGGGGGGGAATCTCATTCATTCGTGGGGGTCGTCCTAAGTCGGAGCCGGCGGGACGGCAGCGAACACCACCCACGCCGCCGCTCCCCTCGCCAGCTGAGCCCGACCCTTCCCTGAACGCCCACCTGCACCAACTTCCCTACGCGAGGTGTTCCGACGGGAAAGACTTCACCCGGTTGGCTTTCTGTCGGGAAACTATGCGAGGGTTGTTTAGAAGGGTGGCATCCTTAGAAAGCAGAGGGGGAGGACTATGTGGGGTGGCCAAGACTTCCCGCGCCCCGAGACTCTCCACCCCCCACCCCGGTACCTGGAAATGCAAGGTGGCCTCCTCTTTGTCGGCCGGGTCAGCGCGGTCAGGATGCACCCGAAGGGAAACCTTGTGGTAGCCCCGGCGGATTTCATTCGCCGAAGCCTCGCGCCTCACGCCCAGCACCTCGTACAGGTCGCCGGCGCCGAAAGCGTCCCGACAGAGCTCGAGCAGCCCCATCGCCTGCGAGGAACGCGCGCCCGCACCCTCCTCCTCCTCCTCCTCCACCCGGCGCGCGCCGCTCCACCCGCCCTTCTTTCTGGGCGCCCTATTTTTCCCGCCAGCCACACCCCCTCGTCTGCTTTACGGCGGTGCCGAGAGATGTCGCAAACACCGGGCCGACCTTGTGACCGAAGAAACGGCGGGTGAAGGGTCCGCTGTAGAGATGGTAAAATTGTAGACTGACTTCACAGGCTAACCATCGTAAAGCTATACTGTACATACAGTAATTGGCTCCATTTTCTTCAGCAGTGGAGGTGTGTAGGGTGCTGTCTGGCACATTTGCTGGAGGGCACTTGGTTTTTAAATTCCACAAAGAAAATGTTTCAACTAACCCCTGCGAGTTTTGCCTTATTATATTTGCAGGTGGTAATAAATAGCTGTTCACGGGACACAGCAATCTTCTTGTTAATGTGTTACAATTTAAAGGAAGCCTCCTCGAAGGGGATCATACAACTGATCATGTAACAACTTTTCTGTACCCAGAACCTAGTATCTAGAGCCTTTTGGCTAACATCTGTGGCACTCATTGTTTCTGCCTTTGTGTGCCACAGCCCAAATGACAATCATCCCCAGTGATGCCTATTTAAACTTCTGAAGAGATACTTCTACTAATCAAGGCAAACAGCCAATGTTCCCTGTTACACTGCTGATATAACATTGTTACAGCCAAGGGCTGAGTTGAAAGTGTATCTTTTTTTAAAGAACTAAGTGGCCAGAAGTCCATTTCCAGTTTTGTATCACATGATTTGTGGGGATAGGTACTAACTGACACTGGGTACCTGTTTTGTTTTTTTAAGGACTGTTCTTGAAGGCTTCTATTAGTATGCAAAAACAGCTAGTTTCCACATGCATTCAGTGATTCCACATTGGTCTATGAACACATTTATCCTGGAGAGCCTTGAATTAGTTGGGAAAAATCCACTCAGGGAGGAAGTGGCTGTGGCAATTTTGCTCTGTATAATGTTTTGTGTATAGGTTTCTGTTCATTTTGTCAGAAGTAGCACTTATGACACCTGAGAAGTATAAAATAATATTTATGAATGAAACTGCAAGCTGGTTGGTCTTTGTGGTTTCAGAGTAGAGAGGTTTTATTTTTGTATATAAGAAAAACTAAGATCATGGCCACTGGTCCCATCACCTCCTGGCATATAGAAGGGGAAGACATGGAGGCAGTGACAAATTTTACTTTCTTGGGCTCCATGATCACTGCATATGGAGACAGCAGCCACGAAATTAAAAGATGCCTGCTTCTTGGGAGGAAAGCGATGACAAACCTCGACAGCATCTTAAAAAGCAGAGACATCACCTTGCCAACAAAAGTCCGAATAGTCAAAGCTATGGTTTTTCTGTCGTGATGTATGGAAGGGAGAGCTGGACCATAAAGAAAGCAGACTGCCGAAGAATTGATGCCTTTGAATTGTGGTCCTGGAGGAGGCTCTTGAGAGTCCCCTGGACTGCAAGGCGAACAAACCTATCAATTCTAAAGGAAATCAACCCTGAGTGCTCACTGGAAGGACAGATCCTGAAGCTGAGGCTCCAGTACTTTGGCCATCTCACGAGAAGAGAAGACTCCTTGGAAAAGACCTTGATGTTAGGAAAGTGTGATGGCAAGTGGAGAAGGGGACGACAGAGGATGAGATGGCTGGACAGTGTCTTTGAAGCAACCAAGATGAATTTGACACAACTACAGGAAGCAGTGGAAGATAGGAGGGCCTGGCGTGCTCTGGTCCATGGGGCCATGAAGAGTTGGACACGACTAAACGACTAAGCGACAACGATTTTATAGGAAGCAATCACAAGCTATTGTACATATATATTGCAGATCAGTGTCATCACAGTAACGAAAGCTCTATTTCACAAAAAAGGTTCTTCTTTCATATGCAGTCTGTGGTGGATCCTGGGGCGAAGAATTGGCCCTCAGAGCTGTGGTGGATCCTGGAACAACAAACTGATCCTAGGTTTTAGTCTCATTTTTAACTGTAGGGCTGGCTTCAGTTATATTGGTCACTGTGACGTTTACCCACGTAGCCCCCACTTGTTATTCCTTAGTGGAAACATCTCATGAAGCGTCAGCATGTCTCTCCAGACTGAAAGCCTTCTTGACATCGGAATGTAATAGTGCTCCTGCGTCCATCTCGGTGTCACGTTGTTGCCAAGTACGACAAGCCACTGTATGTGGAAGCAGATCGACATGGATATCAAGATCAATATCAGGGATATGACATCGATCCCATGTACGACGCTGGGGAGTATGTTAGACCCAAGGGGGTACGTTATATCTATGCCTCTTCAGTGTCACCCCTTTTCCTTTGTCTCCTCGGCATCAACAATGAGCGTAACTTGAGATCAAATTGGTAGCCATGAAGCCTGCTTTGAAGTGCTATTCCCAAGAGGAGCAACATTAGATTCTCAAGAAGCGATCTCGAGCTCAGTCGATACCGACACCATCAGCAGCACATTCCAGAACGTCCCATTCTCAGACACCCCGTCACACTGTACCTTCAAGAGCAATTCAGGCGCCTGATGTTGAAGTATCTCAGCCACTGTGTGAAGAACACGCAGACGCTCATCATCATCCCCTCCGTCTCTCGACAGGGAGTCTGAAGGCTCGTCGGTATCATCAATGTCTGACCAAGATCAACAGTCAGAAGTGTCTAGAGAATCCCCTTCCTAATTTGCCAACATCGGACTCAGAAGTGGCTGTCATACACCTCCCGTCCCCCTCAGAAGACTTCACGTCATACTCACAATTAATACTCCGAATGACAAAATCACTAGAATTGGACATTGATCAACCTCCAACCCCCAAGCAGGACTTAGTATTTGATGACATAAATCAAGAGAAATCACAACCTTTAAGTTTAGCATTTATTCCTTCTATTTTATCTCATCAAAGAATCATGGACTCAACCACCTACATCTTTACAGATTTCAAGAAGAGTTGAGAATCACTGAAGGACACATGGCAATGAAACATCTCTCCTGAGTAAACACCCAGCCCCAAACTCCATCAATGTTCAGTCTAACCAATCAAGAGCGGGGAATCGATCTAAGGTGACCCCTTCTAACAGAGAGGGTTGTAAATTGAATGTACTTGGCCGTCACCTGCATTCATTGGCTTCCCTTGTGATGAGGGTCTCCAATTATCAAGCGGCCATGGTTGCCTATCAGAGGCAGTTATGGAGTAAGATCCTGCCTATTCTTCAAGCAGCCCCTGAGGAAACCAGAGCTGCGGCCCTCAACACACATTTAGAAGCAACAACACTAGCCAAACAACGCTTGGCAGCATGGCACACTGTAGATGCGGCATCTAAGGTAATGTCATCAGTCATTGCTCTTTGCAGACACACCTAGCTCCACTTGGCAGGCATCAATGATGACGCTACATCACGACAGTGCTGGGTTGTTCAACAAGAAAACTGATGAGGTGATGGAGAACCTGCATAAAATTAGAAAAACAGCTAGATATTACTAGAGTTCAACAGCCTGCTAGAGTTCAACAGCCTAAATAGCAACAACAGCAATGTCGCAGACCATTTATCACCTAGCAACCATATCAACAATCATACCAACCTTATCGACAATCCTACCATTCTTATAAACCTCCTCAGGACAGACCAAATCCTCCTTCATCCTCTGCTATCATGTCCTTCAGACCGCAACCTTCTAATCAGCGTCGCCAAAATTTCTGTTGCCCTGCCAAGAAGGGCAAACAATATCTTTGACTGTCCTCTATTGATTTGTCCATCCAATCTATCTTACCTTCCCCAGCTAGCCCCCTTTTTTCAACAAGTGGTCCAACTTCACCACAGATACTTGGGTGCTCATCATCATAAGTTTTGGTTACCTGCTAGAGTTCTCAGATCTTCCTCCTCTTGGTCATCTCAAGATCACTACTTACCTGCTCTATAGGAAGACGTCTCCATTCTTCTTCAGAAGCACGCCATTCAACACATTACTTATCAGGAAGCACTAGACAGCTTCTATTCCCGATAGTTCATGGTCCCCAAGAAGGATGGAGGTCTATGACCAATCTTGGATCTCAGGCGTTTGAACACTTACCTTCGTCACAGGTGGTTCTCCTTTGTGTCCTCTGTGAATACACACTAATGGGTTAATCTGCGGCTGAGCAGAGCAGTCTTCGGTAACTTCCACAGCTTTAAGCACTTAGTGCTGGGACCTCCCCTACACCTGCCTATATAACTCCACCCAGTGCTTCAGTTCTTAAAGAACTGACCAACACTGCCCAATATGCCATGGCACACGTGATGGACAGCGGGGAGGAGGGCGGGACGTATAAATTCAGAGGACTACTCGAAGAACCAGTTACACGTAGGTAACCTCTTTCAATCCCTCCTATAGGCCCACGGTAGCCTCACCAACCCCCTAGGTCATCCTAAAGCTCCGCCCACCCAGGAGGGCCCTGGTCATTCTTCACCCTTTGTCCCGCCTCATAGGGGTGGCACATCTGTCAAAACTGATTTTGATGAGGGCTAGGTATTCTTATTACAGTACTGGCTTGGAGTTAGCAAAGATTGTCATGGGGAAACCGAAGTCAAAATACAGTGGTGCCTCAATTTACGAACTTAATTGGTTCTGGAACTCCGGTTGTAACTCAAAATGGTCGGAGGCCGAAGCACCATTTCCCACAGGAACGCACTGAAATGCAATTAATCTGTTCTGGCCAAAGGGGAAAAAAATCACCGCAAAACCCACCACACTGCAAGACCCATTGGAAACGCAATTAATCTGTTCCGGCTGAAGGGGAGAAAAAAAACACAAAAGCAAACAAACACTGCAAGACCCATCAGAAATGCAAACAAAAACTCCAAAAAGCAAACAGAGAGTGCAAGACCCACCGGAAATGCAAAAAAAGAAAACCAAAAAGCAAACAATCCCTGCAAGACCCATCGGAAATGGGAAAACAAACCCCCAAACAAAACAAAACCCTGCAAGACCCATCACAGCATAGAAACATAATCCCATCACCCAGCCCAAAACCACACTGCAAAACCCAGCCACAAGTTTTTAAAAAGCAGAAAGGAGCACCTTACCAGGTAGTCCGAAGCCTCCTCCAATTGCACACTCTCTAACCGCTGGGGCAAAAAACCTACAAAGAAGCAGCCTCTTCGCCAACAATGGTTAGCAATTTGAATTCTCCGCATTCCCCCCCCCCTTTTCTGTTCGTAACTCGAAGCTCTAGTCACAAGTAGGAGTAAAATTTTGCGGCTTGAGCTTATCATAACTCGAAATGGTCGTATGTCGGGACATTCGTAAGTTGAGGCACCGCTGTAATTCACATGAGAAAGACTGGAACAAAAATCAACTCATTTGAAATATGGTGTTGGAAGAAAGCCTAACAGATAACAGATAGCCAGAAAGGCAGAAAAATGGGTGCTCAATCAAGTCAAACCTGAGCTCTCACTACAGCAAAAATGAATAAACCAAGGTTATCCTACCATGCACATATGAGTATACAGAACTATTTATTTATTTATTTAATTAATTAATTTATACCCCGCCTATCTGGCCCACCGGACCACTCTAGGTTTACAAACTTAATTAGTTCTGGAACTCCGGTTGTAACTCAAAATGGTTGGAGGCAATATTGCTGGGAAGGGGAGCATAAGAGGACCTGACATGAGACAGATTGCCTCAATATAGGAAGCTGCAGCTATTAGTTTGCAAGACCTCAGCAACACTTCCTGGAAAAGCCAACATTGCTGGGGGTGGGCAGTAAGGAGAACCACCTAACATGAAATACTGTTGGTTTGCAGGATCTGATCAGAGCTGTTAATGATAGGACATTTGAGAAGTCATTAACTCATATAGGCATACACATCAGAAGTGACTTGAATGGCACATAGCATCTTTGGAGTTTTTCTCACAATTACCAAACACATGTATAGTTACAATATGGGTGGAATATGCACCCAAGCTCTGCTAACATCAAGGTAGACCATCCCCAGCCACAAAGAAATAACCAGTAATTTCAAAGCTTAAAGTGCAGACTGTCTGCTACACCTGTACAAAATTTGATGCTGATCCAGTCTAATTTCAAAGTTAGAATTGTTTGGGCTGCCCCATTTTTAGAACTGCCTTGTAGAATGTTGATTTGTTCTATCAGCACAAGATCACTGCTACACTATTGTGCAGCTATAATGCTTCATTTGTAGAACTGGCTGCCTAAATTGCAACAATAAACAGCAACTAGACTCTTCACCAACATCTGAGAAAAACTGGGTGAATTGCCAAGAACTGCTGGATTTAACATCTAAGAGCAACTTTCCTGGCCAAAAAAATATCCTGCATTTTTGGACTTTAGGTTCTTCACACTGGTACAATCCTGACGAAGTGGTGTTTAATCCATAAAAGGTTGTTTATTGTGATGATATTTTAGTGGTATATAAAGGTATCGCCTATTTTTGTATTTGTATTTTGTTATGACCACATGGCTGCCCCTTTATTTCTAAAAGTATCCTAAAACAGAAAAAGGGACCCAATGTTGTCTGATTGATCTACAGTAATAAAATGCCCTCCAGTTACCCATGCACACACCCAGAATCTGCTTGAGGAGGTTTCCCCAATTCTTTGGAGCAGACTGGGGGTGGAGAAACCCCATTTCATTGACAGCACAGGACTTAATTGTTACAAAAATTGGATGAAATAAAAAGCAAACTGTTTTGTATAAAAGTTGCTATTTTATTCTGAGCAGTATAAATAATAATCTTGCGAGACACATATAAAAACAGATAAAAGCACTACTGAAAATTTGTAGCTCAGCAGTTTTTAATTACATGGCTGTAATCAGCAATATACATGCGTCCCCAGTGATTCCACAAATTATTTGTGTGAAACAGATTTGCAGCCTATATTCAATTCTAATTCCAAATAAGCCAAGGAAATAATATTTTTACACACATCATGGGTTTCAATACAAAATGCTTTTCATTCAGAAGGTAACATTTATTTTTACATTTAAGTAAACAAAAAAAAATTCCTCTCGTGTGATCAACCACTGCTTAATTTTTCACACACTGATTTATTCTACCTGTTGTTGAGCTTCTACAAATGTAAAACACCCATTATATAGCAGTTTTTCCATAAATGGATCACTAGCTTTCAAACAATGAAACTACATTTTATAATTTATTCCAATTCCTTTGCTTGTACATTTTTTGTGGTACAATTTTTGAAGTCATTTTTTAGTTCTCTCTGTCAGTATTTGTCTTTTGCTTCTATAACGTACAAGATCTTCATGTCCAATTTCTTTCATATGCTCCTCCCACGATGTGATTTCATTTTTGTAACGAACTTTATCATCCTCTGCAAGCTGCAAATATGCCTTAAAAATAACAGAGAAGTCAGGTCCACAATGAAACACTGATTGCACAAGCAACATTTTAAAAGGGAAAGGAAACCACCTTAAAACCACAGAAGGCATTAATTGGACTAAGATATTTACTTCATGGAAGTTTAGACATACGTGAAGCATGTTAAGATTGCTCATCAAATAGGAGTTACAGATTTATTTCAGGTAGGCACATGTACAATCAAAGATCCAGAATTTACTAGGTCATCCTGGTTTTATTACACAACAAGCATTGTTGATCATTCCTCTAACAAATACTGTACATGCTTGTTACAATGCAAGTTTCATTTGTAGCTTAAAACGGTATTAACAGCAATGCTCAAAAAGAAGTTTGCTTGTACAGTTCCTTAGAAATATAAGGCATTTAAACCTTTTGGGGTTAACAGCACAACAGAAAATGGTTATCTGTATTTGATATAAATGCTTAAGTCAGCATCTGAAACTGTTTCAATCATATCTGAAAATTAAGATACTGATTCAGTTTTTAAACCTTTATAGGAAGAAACTGCTTGATTCACATGTAACCATTGTTTCAACTGCATGATTGAGTCTGCAAAAGTCTCAGGCTCATGCTGTCTGCTCTTCTTTTTTCCAACAAGCCACGGGGAAACTGAAAAGTTCCTGTTTTGAATTTAAAATAATAATTGTCTGACACAAGCTGTGAAATGTTTCCACACTTCCCAGTCTCCTCTCCTGTCACTTGTCCCAGCTTCTGCCAACCTAGCAGTTCGAAAGCACATAAAAATGTGAGTAGATAAATAGGTACCACCTTGGTGGGAAGGTAATGGTGTTCCATGTCTAGTCAGTCACGCTGGCCACGTGACCACGGAAATTGTATTTGGACAAACACTGGCTCTATGGCTTGGAAATGGGGATGAGCACCGCACCCTACAGTCAAGGCACGACTGGACTAAATGTCAAGGGCAACCTTTACCTTTATACTGAATCCTTCCACAAACCTGATTCCACGTGTATGAGACATGCTGCTAGAGCATCTGGCTAGAAGTCATCATGGCAGTTTCCCAACTTAAAGGTCAATTTGCTAGCATTTAAGACAGGATCTTGAAGTTTGACAATACCTGTTTTAGAGAAGTGGGCATTTTCTTCCATTCGTCAAATAAATATTTCAGCTTTCCCTTGAAGATAAAGAAAACATATCAAGAGTATTTAGCTAAAAGAGGTTTAATGGTATTATCATATCCAAAGTCTTTATGTACATACAGACACATCAGTCTTATAAGTCCTTTAATTTCAAAAGGCAATTTTTCAGCCTTTATGGCTTGAAAGATAAATTTGAACAAGAAGCTAAAATATCAGCTAGAATTTTTAATGTCATAGAAGGTGCCCACCCAATGAATTAGTATGTTTTTCACACAAAACAGAAGCTTCAGGAGAGCAATTCAGCTTGGGAAAACAGAGTGAAGGTTTTCCCCTCAGTGTCAAAGCAACAGGATGAATTAAACTAGAGACAGTATTGCATGATTTGATCATGGATCTTTTGCTGTGTCACAACTTGATCAGAATTTCAGTATTCATTGCTTCATTAATTCATATGAAAAAGCTCTTTACTGTACTACAATTAACCAATATAATAAATGTATTATACAGTGGTGCCCCCGCATAGCGAGGTTAATCTGTTCCGGATTAACCATCGCTATTCGGAAACATCGGTAAACGGAATAGAAAAACCCATTGGAACGCATTAAACTTCGTTTAATGCGGTCCAATGGGCCCCAAACTCACTGTTCAGCGATGTTCCTCCATAGCACAGGCATTTTCACGCCCTCGGTAAGCGAGGGCAGGGCGCGAAAACGCTGTGCGTGGCCATTTTGGGTCTTCCGGCGGCCATTTTGGAACCGCCGAACAGCTGTTCCCCCCGACATCGCAATGCGAAGATCGGTAAGCGAAACGCTTACCGATTGTCGCAAAGCGATTTTTGCCCATTGGAACCATCGGTATGCGATCGCATTAGCGATCCCAAAAAATGGATCACTATGCGAATTCGTCGTTAAACGGTGCACTCGTTATGCAAGGCACCACTGTATTAGTTAATGGTTTAATAGAGATACAGTAACTTAGTTGTTACATTTTCATCCCACTTTTCCACCAATGAATTCAAGGTGTTGTATATGGTTCTGTTTTCCACTTTATTCCAATAACAACTTCTGAGGTTGGTTAGGCTGAGATAATTTAGATGTCCCAAGATCATCCAGCAAGTTTTGTGAACAAATGGGGATTTGAATCCAGGTTTCCTAGGTATCTAGCTGTGGAGCCAGAGGTTGGGAGCTCAATTCCCCACTGTACCTCCCTGACGGGCTGGACTCAATGATCCATAGGGTCCCTTCCAGCTCTGCAGTTCTAAGATTATTATTAAGTCCTAGACCATCACCCTTAACAACCATACCACACTGCCTCATAACATACATATTACAGATTTGCAACTCCAATTTGTACTAAAAACTCTTACTAACATCGGCACATCTAGTATCACAAAGGAGCAAGAGACTCCTCCTTACTTCTAATTTAGTTCCCAATGCAGAAAATAAGTCATACTTTTTTGCTGTTAAAACAATTAGCCTCCCTCTAACTTACCTGAGGTGAAACTCCTTTAGCTTCTTGGAAATGTTCAGCCACAAAAATGTTCAAGGCACTACGAGGTCTTTTAGGTTTTCCAAGCATAGCTAATTTCTATAAAGACAACAGGGCGTCAATAATCAGTTCCTGTAATCGAAATTAAATTCAGTCACAAAACACACCCATACATACTTCTATGACTAAATTCCAGAGAGATTATTATAACCCAAGTGCCGTACACATAAACAATGGCTGATTTTTACCTTGTTTTGGCAGTCCCTCACACCTAATGAAGCTCTGGTGGACTCTCACCTTTCAAGGAAAGGCTGTTAGCAAACTGTTTATGGGAAATACTTCACATGTTGCCTAGGATCACAGCCTATAACCAGATATGCTGATTGTGACAATTGCCCCACGTCACTCCTGTCAATCATATTCAGGACCTCATTTGCATCAGCTGAGAGAAGTGGAGGGGCAGAGTCAGTGGATATAAGAAGGTTTGGCAGAAGAGTAGGAGAGATAGAGAATTTGCAGAGAGAGAGAGATAGTCAGGGAGATAGTGAGAACAGATACTAATAGAGATAAGCTGGCCAAGATTAATAGACAGAGCAGGTGGTGATAGAGCAGGGAATTTCATGCCCTGACCAAAAAGCCTGAGGAATCTTATTCCCAATTGGGGGCTAAATTAGTTCAATGTTTGGAGAAGTGGATGGAGCGTGAGAATGTCACTTCTTTAGTATGTGGCAAGATATATGATATTCTACTGATTTGATTGTATGCACTGAATAAAGAACATCTGTGATTCTGATTAAAGTTAATACACTTCAATAAATAAGTTCTTTTGGCAGTAACCAGACAAGTGTCTGACTAAAGTTCTTTATACTGTATATTGTGGATAAAGGAAATCCACTGGTGGCAGTGAAGAAAAGAGGGAACATCACAATTGATATCTGCTGGTGGGATGACAAGCAAGGGCTACATGGTAAACATCATACTGATTTTCCAAGCAGAACACCAACTCTTTAAAATCTAAAATACATTATAAACTTTAGGTAACTTTTCAAAGTCCAGTGATTCATTTTCACTGTAAATGAGAGAACAATGGCAACTCATAGTTACTATGCTATGTTGTTTACTACTTTAAGGTCAAAAAGGAGCAGATATACTTTCTCCCTCCCTCTGCCTCTCTCTCTGCTGTCTCCTAAGCATTATGGAGCAATTCAGTTGAAAGTCCTGGCTTCAGAGGTCTTGAACAGATAAACATATACTTACTGTAATGACATAGTAGAGAGAGGGAACAATAGGACTAATGTCTGCTACCGACCACCAACATGGCTACATCTCACAGGTGATACTTTCCTTAGACACAGGTGCCATAATATGATTAAAGTTTAGAGCAGTACCATTAAAATTATCACACTGAGCACAATTTTAGTTACCAAGTACAGATGACAGCACACTTTTCAAGATCCAGTTTTTGAAAGTTTACAGAATTAAATGAAAACACAGGTGTGCAGCTTGAGGGTGCTCTTATATTTATCTCCGAGTTTTAGTGCCCAGGTTTTAGTGGTGACCAGGAATGAATTGCACAATTAAAACTAATGCATGGAGAGGTCTGATCTGCCTTTGTTACACCCCAGCTCAATTACTGCAACACACTCTGTGTAGAGCTGCCTATGCAAAGTGTCAGGAAACTTCAGCAGGTTCAAAACACAGTAGCCCGACTGCTAACTGGGGCTGGTCACATGGATCACGTAACTGCCATGGATGCCCTAAATGGCTTGGGCCGAAGCTATTTCAAGGACTGCATCTCCCTTTATGAGCCTGCTTGAGTGTTAAGATCATCAAGAAAGGCCTTTCTCTCAGCCTCACCACTTTAACATGTGTGTTTGGTGGGTACATGGGTGAGGGCCTTTGCTTATGCTGCTCCCAGACTCTGGAATTCCCTCCCACGGGAGGCTAGCCTGGCCTCATCTTTACTCCCCTTCCATAAGTGGCATCTTTACTGTCTCTTCAGGCAAGTTTTCCTTTAGTGACTAGTTGCCTGAGTGGGGTTTTAAAATGGGACTGTTGTGCCTCGCTGCAATGAATGTGTTTTGGTCTTGCTTATGTTTTTTAGGATTCTATTCATTCGATACTTTCTAGTACAGTGGTGCCTCGGAAGATGGTCACTCCGTTTAACAACTAATCTGCATTACGAGGTTTTTGCGATCGCAAAATGATGTTTTGAATGCGGGAATTTTGCTGCACGATGATCGGTTCCCTGTTTTGGGAACAGATTTTCATTTCCCGACGATCAAAACAGCTTATCATCGGGTTTTCATTCTACTAGGAAACATGTGGGTAAAGAACAGTAGGTAACAAGTAATCACCTATCTATCTATCTATCTATCTATCTATCTATCTATCTATCTATATACACACACACAAAGTCGAATTCTGCCAAGTACACTGACCTAACAAAAGCTTTCTTGTGCTAATGAAGAACATATTATATTACCTCTCAAACGCAAATACTTATACCCTATCTACCAAACATAGGCATTTCAGTTTCATGTGATAGTCAGAATCCTAGTCTGGATTTAAGCCAATGTCAATGTAACAGAGTAAACTGCAGTAGCAAATTGTTGCTTACAAATGAGTTGTCACTCACATTCCTAGTTTTGTGTGGTTGTATGACCAGTATGTGACCAGATATGAAAATTGCAACTTGCTAATTAACAGCAATCCGCACAATTACACTTATGCTATAATAAATCTACAAATGGTTTGCCTAGTATCAGATTCTAACTCTCTTGGTCATAGACATTTCGTTTTTGTGTCGTTTTCTTTTGTGTGGTGGGGCTGGGCCAAGACAGAGTAAAGCAGAAAGAACCACCAATGAAAAGGACATACAACTGGCCAATGTGCTAGTTCCTATATACTTTGCACACATCTCAAATGAAAGCAACATGTTTTATACTGCAGCTTTAGGACAGAACAAATTATAAACTGTCTCTCACACACTTTGACAGAAAACTACTCTTTTAAATACTAACCCTCTTTTTTATGTTTGCTCTTCTTTTTTCCATTTTCTGCATTTTCTCTTCTTTCAAAGCTTTCTCTTGAGCAGGTGTTAGCTGAGCTTTGTACTTGGCCAACTGTTCTTTGTAGAGTTGCATTTCAGCTTCTGCAGCTGTTTCATAAGTCTATAAATAAAAAAATATATAATTTTACAATATTTATGACAAGAATCATGGTTTTGCAAATAACAGAACTTCAGACATTAAAAAGAAAAAAGTGATATACAGTGGTGCCTCGCATTACGATGTTAATTCGTTCCAGCGAAATCGCTATAGAATGAAAACATCGTAAAGCGAAATTAAAAAGCCCATAGAAACGCATTAAAACCCTATTAATGCGTTCCTATGGGCTTGAAACTCACCGTCCAGCAAAGATCCTCCATAGCGCGGCCATTTTCGCTGCCTGTGCAGCGAGAAATCCGTCCCAGAAAGGAGTGGGGAGCTATTTTTTTACCCAGGGGCCATTTTGAAACTGCTGATCAGCTGGCCGAAAATCGTCATTTTGCGAGAATCGGTTCTCGAAGCAGGGAACTGATCGCAAAGCGAAATTCACCTTAGAAAACATCGTTTTGCGATCACAGAAACTTCATCGTAATGCGATTTCATCGTTAAACGGGGCGCTCGTCTTGTGAGGCGCCACTGTAATGTTGTTCAACAAACATTTCTTCTCAAAACAGGTAAGCAAGATTTGTTGTATTTTTATGCCATCAAGCCAGTTTCAATATATTGTGATCCAAATAACATTCTTGAAGTATGTGAAATTTTCAAGGAATGTTTTCCCATCACCATCCACCAGTGAGTTTCCACAGCTAAACAGGAACTTGAACTGAAGTCTCCAGTCAGATACTTTATCCATTGCACTGACTTTCAAATTAAGATTACATGGAACCTGAATTATTTTCAGTACTGAAGAATAAGGTAAAAAGCAGAATCATGCTTACTTGTTTTGCAGACGAAGGTAGCTCCTTCCAATCAAATGCTATCTTTCTGGTTATGTCCAAGATACCTAAACCTGCAGAATAAAAGAAAATCAGATAAAAATATGAAAGTTCTGTCACATTTGTAACATTACATGGGCACCCACAAAGTCAAGTTACTTTAGCACTCTGTGGGGCTGGGAGTACCCCAAGAGGCACTCCTCAGAGTGTACCATCCACCTCCCCAACCAAAGACAGGTGATTAGTTTATTTGCAGATGACCTATTAATAGAAAATCCCTTAAGAGTGATGGATAGGGTAAAATTACATTTAGCAGAGTTTGGAGAGATAATTGGGCTACACGTAAATTGGCTGAAATCAGAGATAATGATGTTTAATTTTAATAAGGAAAAAAAGAATAACAGGAAAATTTGATATCAAGGTTGGGAATTTAATCAAGTATTTAGCAGTATATATATACCAAAGAATCTATCTAGATTAAGAGAAGAAAATTTTAAGAGATTGAAATGTGAAATGAAGAATAAGTTGGATGATTATAGGAAAAGCAAATTATCATGGTTTGGCAGAATAGCCACGGTTAAAATGAAGATTTTAACAAAGGTTAATTTTCAATGTTACCAATAGAACTAACTGAAGATGAGATAAAATATTTGCAATTGAGGATTAATAAGTTTTGTAATGGAGATAAAAAGGCAAAAATTAACAAGAAGAGATGGCATAAGGCAGTGGTCCCTAACCTTTTTACCTCCATGGACCGGTTTAGCATGAGGGCATCTGAGTGAGCATGGGAGGGACCATATGTGCATCCATGTGTGTGGGGGCGGGAGGAGATTTGTCTCCGTGGCCTGGTCCTGGCAAGACCATGCACCGGGACTGGTCCACGGACCAGGGTTTGGGGACCCCTGGTATAAGTCTCAGAAGGTAAGAGGGATGGGACTTCCTAATTTAAAGAATTATTATGCTGCTAACCAGTCAGGCCATATTGGAGATATTGCACATCCTAATAAAGTAATATGGTGCGGTTTGGAATCAACTGAGCTGGATCTAAATTTTGAGAATATTATATTTTAAAAATAGAGGTAAAATAATTAGTAATCCATTCCTAAAAATGTTGTTAATTTGGAATAAGTACAAGAATATGCGTAGTCCAGTAGTATCACCACTATGTCCAGTGATTGAATTGGAAACTTCTAAGAAGCTGAAAAATCTGGAGTGTGTGTTAAGAAGACAGCAAGTAATCAGATTAAAGGATTGGGTAGAAAGGATGGGGAGCAAAGAGCAAATAAAAAAACATTAGGACAGGAGAAATTGTGGTGGTTTAGTTTGATGCAAATTAAACTAAAGATTGGGTAAAAAGACTGGTTGAGGAAAAATTGTAAATATAGGGAGATTACAGTTTGAGGAAATGTTACTACAAAAGGAAAATTTAGCAAATAATAAAGCATTGAAAGGTATAGGTAATAAAATGCATAAAATATTAATTGGAATATATGAGGGAAAGGATAAAAACTGAGAGATGGAAGAAAATATGGGACATAAGAATAGTGAAATCCATATCTATAAATGATACCGAGGAAAGCTGAAACTATATTTTAAATTGACTAATGAATTAGTAATTAACAGTACATTCATTCGGAGGAAAACCAAGCCTCAGAAGAATTCGACCCTGAAACGTTCACAGATAACCCTTAGCAGAGAAGAACACAGGCCTCAGAGAAACTAGGCCCAGACAATACATAGACATAACAATAGATAAAGGGAAATAGATACTCTATGTCCCAGACTTTTAGGCACATCCCTGGTGCATCATAGACACAGGTCAAGGAATGATGGGGCATAATATATTTTCTTACATTTAACCAATAGATTAGCATAATTGCTATTAATTATCCAATGAGGAACTGGATCCAAAGTTGGGATACAAATGACCAATAGAATTGTAGTACTTTAATGATTCTTTGTATCATATAAAACATCTGTACGCTGTATTCTGGGGGTCTTTCTCTACTTTTAAGAGAAGTCCCAGCTGACCTTTTCTTTGCTGCTATTCAAATAAAATTGGGCCTTTGGTTCAGCTGTTTGCGTCTATGAATGATTCCTTGCCAGAGAATTTTAGAACCCAGATCTGGCCAGTAACGTAAGAATTAAAGAAAAATTTTATATGATTGTTTAGCGATGGTATCCAACTCCAGTGAAATGAAACCAAATAAATACAAATTACTCTATGTTGTGCAGGAGGAGATGCCAGAAAACTGGTACAGTTGTGCCCCACTTTACGATTGCCCCGCATTACGACAAAACCGCATTATGATGACGTTTTTGCGATTGCTTTTGCGATTGCAAAATGATGGTCTGAATAGGCTTTTTTTGCTTTGCGATGATCGGTTCCCTGCTTCGGGAACCGATTCTTCGCAAAATGACGATTTTCCTACAGCTGATCGGCGGTTTCAAAATGGCCGCCGGGTAAATAAAATGGCTCCCCGCTGTTTTCTGGGACAGATTCCTCGCAAGTCAGCCATTGAAAATGGCCATCCTATGGAGGATCTTCGATGGACGGTGAGTTTTTAGCTCACTGGAATGCATTAACCGGGTTTTAATGTGTTTCAATGGGTTTTTTATTTTCACATTACGACGTTTTCATTCTACAGTGATTTCGCCGGAATGAATTAACGTCGTAATGCAAGGCACCACTGTACAGTGGTGCCTCGCATAACAGGCGCCCCGTTTAACGATGAATCTGCATAGCGACGATGTTTTTGCGATCGCTTTTGCAATCGCACAACAATATTTCCTGTGGGGAAAAAATCGCTTTGCAATGATCGGTAAGCTGTTTCACTTACTGATTTTCACATAGCGATGTTTTTCCCCAGCTGATGGCGGTTCCAAAAAGGCCGCCGAGTAAAACAGGGATGGATCCCTTGCTTACTGGGCAGCCAAAATGGCCACCGTATGGAGGATTTTCACTTAAAAGGTAAGTTTTAAGCCCACAGGAACACATTGAAGGGGTTTCAATGCATTCCTATGGGCTTTTTTATTTCGCATAGCGACAAATCCATATAGCGATGATTTTTGCTGCACGGATTATCATCGCTATGCGGGGCACCACTGTACTTATTTTTATATGTGGTAGGAATGTGAGAGTGTGATGAAATTTTGGCAAATGATATTTGGGGAAATAAGAGAAATAACCAAATGAAAGGTAGAACTATGTCCTAAAATAGCACTTTTATCAATATCTGATAAGGTGAAATTATAATTGGACAACTATAGAATTAATCTCCAATTTAGTTACAGCTGCTAGATTAATTATAGCCAAATACTGGAAAACAAAACATAATTTTCAATTAAGAGAATGGTATACAGAAGTATGGAATACAGCTATCAACGACAAATTAACATGTAATATTAAAGTAAAGAAAGGAGTGCTTAAAAGACATACTTTTGCAGAACTTTGGGGAGATTTAATTGATTATGTATTAATAAAGAGGAAGAGAAGAGAACTATCGCAAGAAACATTATAATTTGGGAATGGGAATCCTTGAAATAAAGGAAAAGGTCTAGTTATCCATTGGTCCCAGTGGGGGGAAGGGAGCATGCAAGAAGCACTTGAAAATATTAAATATGTATCCACCATTAGAGGCCAAAAGTCTTTGGCTCTTTAGATAACTTTACTCTCTTTTGCTCTTTGTTAAATCTAGAACTGTCCTTTCACAGTTCCAAATCTGTGATTTCTGTGAAGGGTCACTCTCAACCAAAATGTAACCTTTAAAAAGGATAGGTGAATTGAATCATATTCATTATCTGTATTTTTCCTCCTTTCCTTGCTGAAATTTCAATTTCACAGTTTTAACAGAAATCTTGTTGATCCTTATATCAATCTATAGTGTCTTCTTAGGCATCCTTCAGTCTCGAGAGACTATGGTAACGTGCTCTGTATCGAGGACTTGGAACAGCATCTAGTGTGGCTGAAAAGGCCAATTTGAGAGTGACAATCCCTTCCACACTGAAGACAAATACAATCTGTACCCGGTCCAGCTCCCTGATTTTGCTGCTTCCGGGACTGCCTCTTTGCCTCGGCCTGCTGGACAAGGGTCTCTTCAAACTGGGAGAGGCTGCGATGCAGAACGCTCAGATGCCAAGGTTTCCCATCTGTTGAGGTCCATTCCGAAAGCCTTCATATCCCGCTTGCAGATATCCTTGTATTGCAGCTGGGGTTTCCCTCTGGGGGGATTTCCCTGCACTAATTCTCCATACAGGAGATCTTTTGGAATCCGACCATCAGCCATTCTCACAACATGCCCAAGCCAATGTAGACGTTGCTGTTTCAGTAATGTATACATGCTGAAAATTCCAGCTCGATCTAGGACTACTCTATTTGGAACTTTGTCCTGCCAGGTGATACCAAAAATGCGTTGGAGACAATGCATATGGAACGTGTTCCGGTTCCTCTCCTGCCGTGTACAAAGGATCCAGCACCCTCTGCAGTACAGGAGTGTGCTCAAGACACAGGCTCTATAGACCTGGATCTCGGTATATGCTGTCAGCTTCTTATTCAGCCATATTCTCTTTGTGAATCTTGAGAACATGGTAGTTGCTTTCCCAATGCATTTATCCAGCTCAACATCTAGGGAGAGAATGTCAGAGATTGTAGAGCCAAGGTACACAAAGTCATGAACAACCTCCAATTCTTGCGTAGAGATGGTAATGGAGGGAGGTGAGTCCACGCCCTGCCCTATGACGTGTGTTTTCTTCAGGCTGATTGTTAGTCCAAAATCTTGGCAGGCCTTGCTAAAATGATTCATAAGTTTTTGGAGCCCTTCAACAAAATGGGCAACAACGGCTGCATCATCGGCGAAGAGGACGTCCCGCATGCCTTTCAGCTGGACTTTGGTCTTCACTCTCAATCTAGAGAGATTAAAGAGCTTTCCATCTGATCTAGTCCGGAGATAGACACCTTCTGTTGCAGTTCCAAAGGCATGATTCAGCATGACAGTAAAAAAGATCCCAAACAGGGTCAGTGCAAGGACACAGCCCTGTTTCACTCCGCTTCGGATGTCAAAGGGATCTGATGTTGAGCCATCAAAAACTATGGGGTCCTTCATTCTCTCATGAAAGGACCTGATGATGTTGAGGTGGACATCCAATCTTGGGAAGTATTTTAAAAAGGCCATTCCTGCTAAGCAGATCAAAGGCCAATCTATAGCGTCATTCCATATCAAATCAACCAATGCATTGAACCTTGATGTCATGGAATTGGTTCATTTTTAGTACATTTGTACCTTACCATGAGATGTTTAAAAAATTGTTTTCAGATTTTTTGGTCCACCCATTTCTGAGATATTGCATTTTCAAAATTGCAAAAAAAAAAAAAAAAAAAAAAAAAAAAAACACCAAAATTCACTAGCCACCATAACTTCAAATGTCGTTTAACAGATATCTATGATAGTAGGAACGTGGTGATACTGCAGGCTAAACTGTAGAAGCCTCTGTGCTGCAGGGTCAGAAGACCAGCAGTCTTAAGATTGAATCCATGCGATGGAGTGAGCTCCTGTCGCTTTGTCCCAGCTCCTCGCCAACCTAGCAGTTCGAAAGCATGCAAATGCCAGTAGATAAATAGGTGCCACCTCGATGTGAAGGTAAAACGGCGTTCTCTAGTCACGATGGCCACGTGACAACGGAAACTGTCTTTGGACAAGCACTGGCTCTACGGCTTGAAAACGGGATCATCACCGGCCCCTAGAGTCGGACACGACTGGACTCAAAATGTCAAGGGGAACCTTTACCTTTATATGATAGTTACAGACCTGGGACAGGTGATATTTTAAAGCTTATGAATAGGGCTTTCATTTGATATACAACATGATGCAATTGTACATTTTCAAAAAATGTACACATTAAAAATTTAAAATTTGAATTTTCGGGAAAATTGTTTTTTTGAAGTTTTTTAAAAAAATAACACTTAAAGATTCATGTCTTGTAACCAATGAATCCAAACTTCAGGCTGGTATCTCACTGTTATACAAAACTTAATTTTTCTTGGCCGTGACAAGGATTTAACCCCTGAAGTCCTTTTTTTTACAATTCACATTGATAAAATTGTGGTAAACTGAAATGAATCAAAAAAATACTGTAACATGATTTTTACAATTTTCACAGTTTTAACAGAAATCTTTCTATGTGTATCAACCTATAAAGCATCACATACCTTACGATTAAAACACATACAGTGGTGCCTCACATTACAAGCGCTCTGCTTTACGACGAAATCGCTTTACGTTGAAGGTTTTGCGATCGCAAAACGATGTTTCCTGTGGGGGAATTTCGCTTTGAGATGATCGGTTCCATGCTTCTGGAACCAATTGTCGCAAAGCGATGATTTTCGGCCAGCTAATTGGCGGTTTCAAAATGGCCGCCGGGTAAAAAACATGGCTTCCCGCTCTTTTCTGGGACGGATTCCTCGATGCACAGGCAGCGAAAATGGCCGCACTATGGAGGATCTTCGCTGGACGGTGGGTTTCAAGCCCCTAGGAACGCATTAATTGGGTTTTTATCCGTTTCTATGGGCTTTTAAATTTCGCATTACGACGTTTTTGTTCTACAGCGATTTCGCTGGAACGAATTAACGTTGTAATGCGAGGCACCACTGTATTATTGTATGAACTTTTACTGCTAGTAGAAATATGTATAACCAAATTTAGTGGAATTATGTATGTCAGGATAAGAACAAGCTCAAGAGTTCAGGCAAGCCAGGAGAAACAAGCAAAAAAAAATCATGAAAAGGGCTGTTAGACATTAAACATTTTTCAAATTAACACAATGCAGCTGAACTTACATCTACATTACAATACTGTCTGGCCCTCATAATAATTATAAACAATTTTTTAAAATTATGAATTAAAAAAGTGACATCAACAAAAGAATGTTAGGAACTTGCTTTAGCCTCGACTCAGAAAGACATGGTAAGATTCTGGAGACTGCTAACAACAGCAGAAGCAAGAGTTTCTCGTGATCTAGAATAGATTCTTATGTGTCTGTTGGATGTTGGGAAGAACACTGTTTAAAATTACTCAACAATACAGGAGATAAAGCCTAGTGTCCCAAATTACCTCCCAACCTTCTACCACAGTTTCCATCAGTTCCTGTTACAGAAATAGCTTCAGTAAACAAGAATAAAATTTCATTTCCCCCGATATACTCAGATCTTTCCAGGACTGATGGGATCCTCTTTTAGCTGACTTATTCACCCACATGGACATATTCAGTAAAATCCCTACAAAACAGGCATTTTCAACAATTATGCCTATTTACAAGGAAAACAAAACAATCCTGCTAATAATTATAATCCATAAATTTGAAGCTCTGTGCAAGACAACCCCTTCAGAAAATGGTAGTATTGATAATTGAAAACAATTTATTAGCTCTAAAAAAAATCAGTTTTAGAGTGCAGCATTCTACTTTAATCACATTTTCCATAAAAGGATTATCTAGGAAGCTATATGTCACCTATGTCACCTTTACTGATCTTAAAGCAGCATCTGATTCTATTCCAAAATACCATTTATGGGAAAAACCGATAAACCTTTATATAGATCTCAGATTGAGCAAATTAAATATCTACATACTAACACTTGCTTGGAGGTCAGCATTTCGGACCAACACAGTTAAAACATTTGACTTAAAGCAGCAAAAACACCACTTGTCACATTTTCTATGAATTTCTTACCTGGATTTTGTTTCCTATAAATGGGCTGCTGGTCTACAAAGAAGCGAAGGTAGGCTGACAATGGCTTCTTTGGACGATTATCTGAACTTACATATTTTGAAAACCATTTATCCACAGGGCACGTAGCACTGCATGTTAACAGAAACAACATTATTACTGAATGCACTATTAAAGTAATAATAACAGAAGCTCTTTGTGCAGAGCATTAGGAGGCAACAACCGTGGGGACAATACTCTAACCTCTACTGCCTGTGAACAGCAATTCATTGAGAGATCAAGCTCTTGCAGCATGAACCCGACACTTTTTTTAAGCACTCTACATGTGTTAGTTTGCTCACCAATGAAGTAATCATGCAACTACTCTGTGTGTGTGCGCGCGTGCGCGTGTAAAATTGTTAAAATCTCACTTATCTTGAAAGCTCTATTAGGTTCATTAAAAGTCGCTTCCCAACTCCATCACACATAACTACTTTAAATAATTGACCCACACTCCTCCAACACGCACATATAACTGACAAAAATAAGCTATGCATCAGATGCACGGTGCTCATAAAAACGTGTGTATCAATAAATAGGTTAAAATTTTAAACTGCCGCAACACAGTTTTGGGGTTGTTGTTTTTTTTACCTGAACCCGGACTTATATCCGCTGCGCAACGGCATACATGTCAACACAGAAAAAGAAAACCAAACCACTGAGTTTAACAGGGCACATTCTCAAATACTGTAAATGGGCAGAAGACTGCAGGCTGAGTGTACCGCGGATCCCACAACCCGGAAGGATTTCCGTTTAGCGAGCAAAAGCTCGGACACAAATGCACCTCCAACAAAACGACTCTCACCCGTGCCAAGCACTCTGCCCCTGGCCCTCCTCTCCTCCAGTGAGACCAAGGCAGACGAAGCCAGACGAGGGCAAAGCGAGGGAAAGGTGGCCGGGCCGGGAAGGGAGACCTGAAGGGAGGCGCAAGGGGAGCGAGGGGGGGGGAAGGCACAAGACCCAAAGCCTTATAAGGAAGGGGGGCAGAAGGGGATATCAACTGTATACTTTCCTCCCCCAGTAATCGTTACCTGAGGATATACCGCGGCCGAGGCAGAGACGAAAACACTCGGGCCAGCAGCGCGGCCGCCATTTCGCCTCCTCCTCCTCCTCCTCCCCCGTGAAGGAAAAGAATCGGGCCTCCTCTCCCTCCTCGCGGCCGAGCCTTAGAAACCTCGCGCTCCCGCCGCGCACGGCATTGTGGGAGGGAAAGCCGTTCTACTGACTGCAGCCGGGCACGCCGCTCTTTACAATCACGCGGCACCGCGCCCGGACACCCTGCGGGAAAGGGTGAAAAGCAAGCGTCGTGGGCAGCCCCCACTTCCGGTTCCTGCTGGAGTAATGGGGGGGAGGGGCCTTTTGATCTGGTTATCCATTCCGACTTTGGTTGGCGATACTACATCGCTTGGTAGCCAGTGGTGTATGTAGCCAAAGATGAATGTGTATACACCCTCTTTGGAAAAGGCCAAACAATAAATAAGACAAACAGGCGGTGGCACCTTAAAAGACTGGCTGTTACAATTTAATGTGGGCTTTCGCGGACATGTCCACTTCTTCTGGATGGAGTTCGCGTAGTAAAATATTCATGCCTGGCTTTAAGGGACAATGGTGTGTGGCTGCATGTCATACGTGCAATAATTTATCACCTGTTTGGTGGTCAATTCTTTTTAAGTCTGGCTCTGTAAACATCTCCACAAGAACATACTTTACCTCGCATGCCCTGAAGGGGACTTGTCCACAAAAGGTCATATTAAAATATAACACCTTCAAAGTGCACACCACGTTTGTTTTTTTAACTTTTGGTTGTCCCCGATATGCTTGCATAGTATGAAGCGGCTACCTCTCGGGGGAAAAAATGCAACTCGCGCAGACGCAAAAAAAAGAAAAGCTCCGAAGTCTCCAGCGCGGTCATTTCTCAGACTTGAGCATTTCGAATCCAAATACAGTACTGTACAGTAGCTTGTGGGGAAAGGAGAGGGGCGGAGCCAGCAAGCAACGTCTCTTCAACCAATTACTGTACTGCCTTCCCGCGCGAGAGAGGGGCGTATTGCGTCTCCTTACGTACCGGGTAAGTTCTTCCTGTCTATGGTGGAGACAAGAGTAGGCGGGGCCACCTCACCATGGCGTCAATCCCACCAATAACATGCGTTTATCTGGCAAGGGGAGGGAGAGGAGAGTGGCGCATGCGCAGTTAGGACAGGGAGAGGCGCGACAGCTCGCGCTTCCCGCTGGATAAGAAAGTGGCGACGTGAGGCGGGGAAAGCGTGCTGAGCATCACCGGGCACGTTAGATGCCCGTAGTACCACCCCTTTTGTTGGTGAATTAGAAGGGTTGAGAATGTCCTTTGTATAGAAAATACTTTTATTTTCGGGTCACTGAAGCTCTTGCTGGACCACAAAGCCCATCGTTGTTGGCTCTGATGGGAACTGAAGTACATTAACGGGCCACTTGGAAATCCCTCTGGACACTTTTCACGCCAATAGGTCTCATTGTACTTAACGGGTGAATGGAAAGGGAAGCTAGACAAGCGTTTTAAAGAAAGTAAAGACTTTTTGTGGCATTAATACTTGAAATAGTAGCTACTCAATTACGTTTAATAACTATCACTGCCTTTCACATGACAGAACTGAATTTTGCCTTTTGATTGTACCAATTAACAGCAAGCATTTGTGTTGAAATCTTCAGATGTTGGATCCAATCCAACTTTTTTTGCCTTAGGCAAGGCCCTCCTAGTTGAGCTCAGAGAAGTCTAAAACTAGTCTGTTCAAGACTATTGAATTACAATCTTATTTAGACACTGATCTCAACATTATTATATTTGTCACTATGGGTGTAATCCTTTATTTCAGCTCACTTAAGTTATCTGAAGACACCCCAACAAGCCTCTAGTAATGGAAAACTGGGACTAACATGTTTGAAGTGCCACTACACTTTTCACATAAGGTGCAGTTAATAATAAAAAAAAGTGACAGACTCAGATTTCAAACCAAACCTTTATTTTCATTCAAGCCTCAGCTGACATGTTTAGGCAGAAAAATATCACATCATAAGTAGCTAAAAAGTATGCTTTGTTTAACATTAGAATGACTAAAGAGTACACTTTCAAGAATTGGGGTAGTATAGATCCCTTTGCTTTAGTCATGCCCATAGTGCCAAGTGAGAAATATACAGAGAATGGGATGGCTCAGTTAGTGCCCTTGCTAAGGCATTGTACAGTATAAACTGGTATTTGGTAGAAGGGACTGAAGCACAGACAACATTTATGCCACCATAATGGAAGCACCAGGACTGAGCAAATGGCTGACATGAGGAGAAAAAGGAGAAGCTTCACAACAGAGCCTTTAAAAGAGCAAAACAGAAACTTTATTAAGAAGTGTATAGTATGTAACAGCAAGGTCTTAATGTCCTTAATTATTTGAAGTTGTGATTCAAAATAAGATCAAATAAAGAAATTTTTCAGCTTACATCTGTTACCATTTTATTAATAAGATTAATCTGAAAGTTCAATACGTAAAAGTCAGTCTCTGAACTACAGTTTTCAATGTCATTGAAGAGAGACAAGGATAGCTTCACATACTTCTCAAAGAGCCCTACGTAGTAAAATTTAAGAGGATTGCTGATCTGTACTTTTTGCTCAGCCTGAAGATCTTGCATTATGGTAAGTAAATTCCTTTTTGTATGATGCATACTTCAAAGCATAGTAACATCTAAACAGTTTCAAACCAGCCTCCATATACTTTTAGCAAAGCAGAAGATTAAATGCTTTCACTTAACAGGCATGCAAATCAAACTACAAAATTTCACAGAGTCCATTGTCAGAGATTAAAGGATTATAAATTCATTATTCTGGGATGAACCTATCAGAAACATCTAAAACAGATGGGGTAAAAACATCTGGGAAATCACACAATAAGAATCTTTTACCACCAGTTAAAGTATTAATGAAAAAAATGTGGCAAACTGCTTTGCTTTGCAAGCTATGGCATTACCCTTTTCAAGTATAGTGAAGTGATCATTTAGCACAAGGAAACACTTATTGGCTATTTTCAAAGATTGGTCTATTTCACAGCAAGCAATGACATAAATACAATGGCAATGAACTTTTCAGTGCTTCTTTTGCAAAGTTTCCATGTTTTGATTGTGTACATTGAGGTAAAGAAGTCTAACATGACCTTTATGAATAAATGCCCAATGCAGGCATGTCCTAGGCTATCAAAATTTTAAGATGTTAAAACAGATTGTTACAAGCCCAGAAATATAAAAATAGCTTCTGGAATGCTTGTCACATGTCTATATATTCCAGTTATTATTGTTCCTTTTGAAGCAAAGCACTAGGCCTATATTCCCTTCTCCAGAAGGGATCAAGTAGTGTCTATGGCAGCAGACGTCCTAGACAAGCAACTTGTGTTTAATTAGAATTACTGTAGCCACAAACTAAAATGCAAGGATTATGTACCCCGAAACAATGTATTCTTCCAAAAGTAAAATGCTTTTATAAAGAATGTGAGGCTATTTTTCTCCAACCATGCATGCTGAAGTACGTATGTAATTGTTGAAAAGCATTAGCATTGTATGTGAAATTATCAGATCAAAATATTGTTATACATAGGCACAGGGAAAAGCTACTGTGATCGTTTGTTTCAGGATTATTATGTAAGCTTGGAGATAGTACGGCATAATATACTCAAGAGTTAATAGCAATTTGAAATATATAGGCCATCTCCTCCCACTAGTAATTCACACATTTAACAGTATTTTGATCTTTTTTTGAGCAAGCACATGTAAAGATTGTGCAAGACTTAAAGAACAGCCAAGACAAGGAGTAAAAAACATGTTTTATTTATATGGAAAAGCTTCAAGTCAATTTTGTTAAAAGGTCAGAGATTATATTGCCTATACGGGATAAAAAGTCAGCTGTGAATAGAACAAAACTAGTTACATTTTTTTCTACAGAGCAGTGCAATTAATTCACATTGCAATAACAGTATGCAACAGAATCAAAATCATGTGTTTCCCCATAATGAATATACTGAAAATTAGAGTGCAAAGTTTCTTTTAAGAAGTTACCAGTTTATAGAGCATTCCTCTGGGTGGGAATGCTTCAGTTATTTAACAGTAGTTGTATTTTTCAATACTGTGCAGAAAATCTAAAATGAGTTGACTTGCATGGTAAATAAAATATAGTCTATACAGTAAAAAAATACAAATTATACAATAAACTAACAAAGTATGAAATTCAAACACAGACTTACAGGTTTGACATCTCAAAGACACATAGAATATCTCATGTAACACCTAGGTTTTCAGAAAAAATAATTTTGGTTGCTCTACAATTGCATTATGGATCTTGTAGGCTGGAGATGCAGATGTCCACGTATCTTTAAAAAACATAATAAATGTCTTTTGCAAAGCATACAAAAAGGATAAATACTCTCATCACAGTCTTCAGGTTAATTTTTGTAGTTAATTCCTTTTTCCAGAAACACATTTATGTGGGTGAAAATCAAAAAGGGCTTCATGGTACACTGAAAACAGTAAACTGTGCTCCATTTACTTCTAATTTGAAAAAACCCTAGAATTTACAGTACTCTGGTATATATGAAAAAGTTTTCAAAGTTTACATTGCATATTTCTGTGTCCATTCTCTTGCGTGTCTGTTGTATCTGTCAAAGAAAACAAAAAAGTAAAAAGACACATGCTTACAATTTAGAACAGTGCCATTACATAGCAAATAAAAACTGTTTCAACAGATTATTACATTTAAGATATTCACATTTTCTTAGAAAGCAAAAAACAACATATATTCAAAGCAGGCAACCAACAGAAGAGCAATACAGAGCAGTACACCTGCCCCATCTTTGAGGAAAAGAATGAGTACTGTAGTGGTTAGAAAACAGTACCTTGAGCAGAAAAAGCACTAAGTGCCTGAAATACATAGTAAATCTGGTGTTAAAGATTTCCCTAGATAGATAGGACGTTTGTGGGAGGAGGTAAGACACACTGATGGCAGAAAGGACCAGGATACTGTACACACGTTGCTTTCTCTACTACATGCCTGTGCCTGGCTATTATTAGCTGTAGAGTGTAAAGGTTTCTTTGTGTACCCAGCCTCAGAGCATGGGCTGCAGACAGCAGGCTGGACAGTTCGCTAGCCCACTTACAAAGGCATATGCAGAGTTCCATCTGATCCCAAGGAGTCTGTTTTGGGCCTGCATTAGTGTCTAGTGTCAGAAATAGACTAGATGAGGCCAAACTGAAACTTAACCCAAACAAGACAGAGGCACTCTTGGCTTGTCAAAAGATCAGGGAATAGCGATTTTGTCTGCACTAGACTCCTGAAAAGTCAGGTCTGCGGCTTGGGTGCGCTTTTGAATTCAACCTTGAGCCTGGATGCATAGATTTCAGTGGTGACCAGGAGTGCATTTGCACAGTTGAAGCTGGTGTGCCAGCTGTGCCTGTTCTAGATGTCTGATCTGGCTGTGCATTAGTTACTTCCTTCCTGGATTTTTGCAACATGTCCTCTTACATGGGGCTGCCTTTGAACAGAGTTCTGAAACTTCAGATGGTTCAAAATACTGCAGTCATACTGCTTATTGGCACTGGTTACAGAGAGTATATAACTCTTGTTACCAAACATTTACTGGCTGTTGCTGTTTTGGAGCCAAATTCAAAGTGCTGGTTAGAATCTACAGAGCTCTATATGGCTTGTGTCCAGGCTAGATTAAGGTCCATATTTATTATATGAGCCTCCCTGGCTTTTTCAGGTCTTCTGGGAATGCCTTTTTCTTGGTCTCACAGGACTGTGAGTACACCTTTTCAGTGGCTGCTCCCACAATGTGAAGTACCCCTTTCCAGGGAGGCCAGACTGGCCTTTCGCTCCTGTTCTTCTGCTGGCAGAAAGACCCATTCTTTTTGAAGCAGACTTTTAAGTGATTTGGAAAAGTGGAGAATATTGGTAATGCTACCTTAATTGAATTCAGGGTGTATGGTCAAGAAAGTTTTAATTTAAAAAAATATTATTACATGTTTAATTGTTTTGTACTTATGGTGCTTTCAATTCTGACTAGTGTATTATTTTAGCTGACTGTGAGCCACCTTGAGTTCTCCTATTGGAAGAAAAGCAGCATATAAATAAAACAAATGAATGGAATAAAAAGTTACAAAATTCATATGAAAAAATAGACTATATAGGGGCACAATAGATGGCTAGCAATAGGATAAATGTGCAGTTGAAGAAGGTATATTCTAAGAGAAGATAAGGCTGCACAGGACAATTACAAAAATTGCATGTGACGGAGTACCTGCAATGTATGTTATTGTAACTCAATTTCCTCCACCACCATCCTGCCACACTCTTCTGATCTTGGTACAATTAAAGTGATCAAGTCTACTAACTGAATTCTAAAAAAAGGGACCAGTATATGGAATATCATTAATACCTTCCAGATGAAAATGTATTTATAAATTGCCTATTGAGCGCATATTGAGCTTCACTAGGTAGAAAAGAGAGGTGGAAAGACAGAACAGAACTTGTGTCTTCAGTATTGATATAAATAGATTTAGGAACATTTCTGACCAAGAAATTAGTCAGGGAGTTAAATGGGCTAGAGATCTAAAGATTCAAACAGCTGATGTGGTTTCTTTCCCTTTATTTGTTCAATGCTTTAAGTGATAACTAAGTAGACACCATCAAAACATGGAAGAGTCTGGAAGGTCAACTTGATTAGTTGCATCTTCTGGTGACGTTAGCTGAGACATCCCCAGGAGCTGGATCAACAATTCATATCTTACCCCTTTACATTTTAAAAAACTGACTACATGTATCCCCAGAATTGCTTTGGACTTTCTAAATGATGTTTTTTGTTTGTTTGTTTGGAGTCATGATTTGTTATCACTGTACACTTTCTAATTAAGGGGGAAAACCCTAAATCACACCCCCAACATGCCTGTAAGCTGCCTACTTATCTTCACTAGACTGAGGAAGAGATACTGAAAGCAAGCCCAACATACACCCACATATTGTCTCAATCAGTTTATAACTGGTGTGTGAGAAAATATTAGGAAAGCGAACTTAGTAGCTAATGTAAATCAGCTGATACTATACTCAAAAATGGGATTTTATTCAGCAACAAACCAACAAGAAGACTCCTGCCATTTCTTTCAGATAACACTAGAAATAGTCTGATGAGATTCTCTTGGCAAAATCAGTAGGGACATTTCTTTAACATTTAAAAGTGCAAAAAAATATTACTTAGAAATATATATTTGCTCACACATTGTAAGATGCAACACAGGAAATTCTTGGATCTAGAATATGCCAGTGATAACATGAGTTAAATAGTTCTGTACATTACTTACTGCTATAATCTGAAAATTATACATTTAAGATACACCAGGTAGAACAAAAGGTAGGAAAAATTCACAAATCTAAGAATGGAACATTGTTAAGATTCTGCAATAGTACATGTAAAAACAAACCTTGATTTTGCCAGAGATGAAGGCATAACAGAAGATAGTATAACAGTAGGTTGGGAGGAGACAGTGTTGGGAAAAGAAGAAGCAATAAAGATATTTGAAATTATACTTGCACTTACTTTTCCTTGTCTGACTTGTAGATTTGTGCAATATCTGGTACTAAAGGGTCGTCTGGATTAGGATCACAAAGTAAAGAGCATATGGACAAAAGAACTAGATTAAAAAGAAAAATCAATTAGATTTCTTATGACATGAATTCAGCAATTAGGGCAAAAAGAAGATATGGGTTCATTTTTATAATAATTCCATAGCTCAGCTTTTCAAAACTTGAAAAGCAATACATTGTACATTCTCCATGCACCCAATGCATGTGGGATATATTGGCACAACACCTCCTTTAGCTCTAGCTTATATTTCCTGCTGCCCAGTGGCACTTCGTGATGATCTGTGGGAAGCCAGGGGCACATAGCAACATTCTCTTTTGGTAGTACAAGGTGAGACAAAAATCTAAATCCTTTACTTTTTATAAATGTCTGTTACCAGTGAACAATGCAATATGCTATGTCCCTTTCAGCCCCAGTCCCAAACTACAGAAGCACTGCCCTGGCTCCATGGTGGGCTATTCAAGATGAGTGTACCACATGGTAAAAAGATAAGCAGTGATTGAAAGAGCTCTTTCAGGCACATCTAAGGCTTGAACAGGCTATACAGGTATTTTTCTTCATTTAAAGGACTGCCAATAACTACAACATATAACAAACTGCTTTAATAACCTTCTCAGCTTCAAAAACTATTTGCCACATAAAAGTTGCTATTAAATAAAAAACAAAACAAAGCATTGGGGTATGGAGAAGTAACTAGTATTGTGATATCTGTGAAACTGCTTTGTTTTGTACTAAAGTTTTGACCACGAGAAAATAAAAAAGTAATTGGCTTGTAATTGAACACACATTTTAGAATAAGTGTACCCTGCTTTTTGCCAAGAGTTCTTAATGCCAAGTGAACTGGGATGATTTTCCTTGATATAAATTTAAACCACAATTTAAATTTTTTAAAAATCATTTTTTTAATTTAAATAGTCAAAATAAATTCATTTTTAAAATTTACATCAAATCCACCCTGCCAGGACGGTGACCTAAAATTGGGTTTTCATAAATACTTACCTTTAGAAACAGTCAGAGCAGGTGACCATTGTGACCTCAGGATATCAAGACAAATACTCCCATTACTATTTATGTTTGGATGATATATTTTTGTTGTGAATGCAATCTGTAACAGAAGAATTGTCAAATATTTTTACAGTGTTCACATCACAAATATTTCCCTTTTTATAATCTATGTTTTATTTCTATATTTGACAACAATTTGGGTCTATGAAACAAGTAAAAAGAGATTATATTATACTCACACTTGGATATTGCACTAAACTAGCTTGTTTAACAATGAACCGTTTTGCAGACAAAATCAAACTAACAAACCATGTTGCCCCCCACCCCGCCCCCAATTTTTGGACTGTTTCTTGCTTATCACTTTTATCAGAACTTGTTGCAGGGCAGGCAATTGGGAAAACAAGCCTGGTGCAAGGCAGTTCTGGAATCAAGCATAATGACAAGCCATAATGAAAACAGAAATGAGAAAACAACAAATCATGGATTTAAATTATGCTTTTGTGACTGGTTAGCAAACCACATCTTATTTGTGAGAAAGACACAAGATATCAAATCAATCAATCAATCAATCACATAGTATTTATATGTGAGCCAAGTTACTCTGGTATTAATGAGAAATCAATAACTATAGCTGTTTCCTGATTAAGAAAGACACCCAAAGTGATTTATGTGTAGATCCCTTTTTTCATATTTACAGTAGACACCTGATTTACAACAGCTTGCTTTACAGCTACTTCAGTGTTAAAACCTCCCCCCACTAACATTCAAAACCAAGTTTTACGATCTCTGACTGGTATATGGATAGCAAGAATTGTGGCAACAGAGAATGGTAGTAGGAGAGAAGGTGCACACAAGACAGCAGAGGGCAGATGGGGAAAAGAGAAGACAGCTGAGAGGACAGAAGGAGCAAGAAAGACAGTGAAGATGTCAGGGAAGAAGAGGGTGGATGTAAGGCCTGAGAACTGCCTGGAAGCCAAACTCCTATTTTAAGATTAATCCCAATGGGAAAATAGGATTCAGCTTACAATAGCTCATTTTATGACTGTTGTTGGGGAACCAGGGTGGAAAAAAATCAGTGATTAAAAAAATGATTTAAATCACAATTTAAAAAAAATATCAATTTTTATTTAAATAATCAAAAATACATTTTCTTAAAAAAATAAAATTTTATTTAAATTGTGATTTAAATCGATTTGATTTAAATCAAATCCACCCTCTGATAAACCAATTAGTCATAAATATGCAGGTCTTCTGCATAAAGTCTGATGCGTAACATGTAATACATTGCTGAGGTTTGCTGACAGGATCAAAACATTTTAATTTAATTTAGTACATTTAAATTAAGGATGAAGGAGTGGCAAAAACTAATGTCACATGAGGCAGAGCAAAACACAGTTTTCCCATTATTGCTGAGGTGTTTAGAAACCAGACTGCTCAGGAGCTTATTAAAATCGATACAGACAGAAAATTTAAGGGACAACTTGACAAGGATTATCCAATTTTCCTTAAAATGCAGAGTGATGAGGGAGTGTAGGTTTCGCTCAACAGCCACTAGGCAGAATTCAACAGGTCCTGACTAAACTGAGTGTGCTTCTGCCCTTCTCAGAATCCTCAGAAACAGACATTTCATGACAAACAAGCTTGTGTAGAAAGAGCTCCCCAAATACAGAAAGCTTGTAAACTACTCATTTGAAGTATTATTCCATCCACTATGAAACAGTGGGGAATGTATGGGCCTGTAGATGTTACACTGCAAATCCCATGATGCCTCACCATTAACTATGATAGCTAGGGATGGTGAGAGCTGTAGTCCAACAACACTTGGGGCGGAAGGGGGGGAGGAAACATGTTTCCCATGGCTGATTTATCTCTAGATAACTAAAACACAGTAATCTGAAAAACAGTTGAACCCACAAGTCAGCATTTAACACTTAAACAGGGAACAATATGATTAAAATCATATATGCATATTGAATTCATCTGTAATAATGCAGCATGGCTTTGGTCTTTGTCCTTGTCTATCCTATCACTTTAGTAACATATCTATGCTGCGATGTTGTGATTCTTCGGCATTTAATCCCAGAAGGACTAATAACGCGGAAGGGATAAAGCCAAGGTCTAACATATGGAAATCGAAATGTTTTAAACATATTTAACCATATTATAAAGAGTTTACCTTTGGTGGTTTGAATGGGTAGTCTGTTGGAAAATGTACTGTGAGAAAAAAGACTCCCCCTTGATATGCACTGTCAGGCTGCAAAACAGGAAAATTAATAAGGTCATGATTCAAATTATTTCCTTAAGATTCCCATCTGCATCTGGTGAATATTTTGAAGAACACAGCCCTGTATACATTTTTGTCCCATCTCCTCGAAGCACACCGCTCTTTCTGTGGAACATCCATGGCCATCACCATTATTCTATGATATAGCAAACCGCATAAAAAAGGCAAGAAGAACTAAAATGCTTGGTTTGAGCACATTTGAGATAGAACCACAGCTGCTAGATTGAACATGAAATGCTCCTCTCAACTTTAAATCCACAATTACCTGAAGCACCGAACTCTTTTTGAGTATGCATCTTCCATTGTTTTTCAATTATTCCTTGAAAGATCATGCAGTGCCTGCCAATTCTACAGACTGTCCAAACATTCTGTAAACGGAAATGTCTGCAGACTTGTATCCAGCATGTTCACAGCTAGAAGGCAGAAAAAGTTTCTTTCCCCCTGCCACCCCCCCATCCTCTGCTTAAGAGACAGAGCCCCTCTAAATGGGAGCTTTCAACACGTAGGAAGGAAACTGGAGGCTATGTAAGCACAGACTTCATGGGGGTGGGATGGCGCAAACTGAAGCATGTTTTCTCTCTTTCAAATAGAGCTGTGCAATTTAAAGTCTAGCCGCCCAGAGTAGACTTTGGTCTAAATGGGCAGGATATAAATTAAAAACAACTTTTTAAAAATTAACTTACAAACCCAGACTTCTTTGAACCATTCCGTTAGCTCCTATTACTGCTCTTTACCAACACAGGCCTCTACATTCCTCTTACCCTATATTTTTAAGCTCTCTTTTGTGTTGTTTTGTCCTTCTGCATTCAGTCTCTATTCCACCCCACCTACTTCAAGGCTAAACAACACAAAACTCACAAACTTAATCACATGTTATATGAACAACTGAATTAGCAGGCACATGGTTTTTAAAAATGTATTTTTCTATTTATAAAAACCCCCTTCCAAACCCCAAAATTAAGATAACTTAGCTTTGAGTATTCAGCCTCTGGCCTCAGAACGCTCACATGTCCCTGCTGTATTTAGGCCTACAGACTCCACCTCCAACGAGGTGTGTTCCAATTGGTTTGTTCAGCATCAGCTGACATCAATTCCATAAGGCTCGTGATTGGAGGAAGCCTGTTTACAGAGGCAAGGCACGGGCAGTTTTGTTCTCAGCTTACTTCCGTGTATAAGACGGCCCTCAATTTTTAATGTAATGATTTTAGGGAGAAGTAGCATCTTATACATACATGGAAAAATACGGTAAATACCAGGTGTATATTTGTGTGTCTCAATGGTAATCAGCAGAGCATCTAATATTTCCTCACTCTTTCTTAAACAGTAACTAGTATTGGGGGGGAGGAAGACTCATTAACATGAACCAGCCCCCCCCCCCATGCTTATGACTTCCAAACATTTTACATAGTTCATGGCTAGTCTGTTACTAAGTGTGAAACGGTGCTGTTTAACATACATATTTGCATAATAATCAGCCACTATACATATGTCATAAATATATAAAAATAAAACCAGCATTGCAGCTACATTAGGTTAGAAGTACAGGTATGATTTTGAGGGGATAGCTACATTAGGTTAGAAGTACAGGTATGATTTTTATGAGAGGGGTTTGTGTTCTGCTGTAGCAGAATCGATGGGAGGGGTTTGTGTTCTGCTGTAGCACAATCAGATCCTGTTCTTTGGCTAGAGTCTGCAGGTAGTATGAAATGTGGGTGTGGGAAGAGGAGTAGGTACTTGGGGAGGGTAGAGTCTCTGCAGGTAGTATGAAATGTGGTGTGGGAAGAGGAGTAGGTACTTGGGGAAGGCTGCAGGAATGCTGCCTGCAACCACTGCAGCAACTTCTACTGAGAGAAAAGAGAGGAAAATGACATCCTGCAACTGCTATTATGAGCTCCCCAAACAAAATCTGTCACACAGCTGCCTTGTTTAGCACTGACACTATGAAAAAATAGCAGGCAGCAGTACAGGGTGGGTGTGTCTCTACAAGGAGGTGGCAAAGAAGCCTCTGGTTCAAGGTGGGACTAATAGGAGTGAACCTTAGATATGTTCCAGTGACATCTTTGTGCAAGTCAGCGAGGGAAAGGGGCTGAAAAAGATCGTGAAGGTACTTTTCTCCCAGAGAAGGACAAGGATGGCACTAGCACTCAGACTGACACTGTCAGTTTGGGCTGCGGCAGTGCTGCTGCTTTTGTGGTTGGGAAAGAGGTTTATGAAAAGCACCAGACATTGCCTTTCATATCCATACCATGCAGTTCCATCATAGTCAAAGAAGAGTTTACTGCCAGAACTAATTCCCAGCAAATCTGTCCTGTTCAAAGTAGTATTCTGGTTGGTGGGAACTCTTCTTTAAGTTGATATACTTCTGATGTGGAGGAGAAGTAGACTCAGGTGGGGACTATTGCAGATGCACGTGACACTAAAACCACTCATGCCCTTCCAACTGTACTCGCCCCACCAGCTGCCAGAACCAGTAGTAATGACAGGTTAGCAATTCTTATTAGAAACATGCAGTCAAAAAATTGAGCTCCCAAGAAGTCAATGATCTGAAAACACTTTCAACATTGTGCAGCTCACATGGCTGAGTGTGTGCACTGCAAGAAGGTACTCAGGTGTGGGCAGAATATGGAACATCTCTCTAACAGTAGCATGTTCAGCCACCTGAAGACTTGGCACAAGACTCGGCATTTGCTGCTGGCAAATGAAGTGAGTACGTGGAGGCAAGTGGTTTATTGTAAAGGGGAAGAGTCATCAGAAGGCAGAAGTTGAGCCACCAGCACAGTGAAGCTGGGAGGCAGAGATAGGCAAATAGGTTAATAGGTGGGAGGCAGCAAATGCCAGACACACATCTCAGGAATCAGTTCCAGGCTACCTTGGGATCCAGGAAAAGGGCCTTCTTCAAACGTAGGTATGCTAAAATTGCTAGTTGGCTAGGGAAGAGGATAGTCCTTTTCTTTGGTGGTGGACATTTGTTTTTAATAGGTTTATGGCAGAACTGGCACTAACTGCCATCCTGAATGACCTTTAGCTGCAGGGTGGGGCCAGATTTATATTGGGGGTGTCAGGCAACTAGTATAGCAGCAGTTGGCCAGTGCACTTCTGGTACATTTTAAAAGTGACATCTGGAGCAGTCTGGGTGCAAAATATGACCATCTCTCCCTGGCAGGATAATGGCAGGTTACAGGTGTGCTCTGTTGAATGTGGCTGTGATGAAGGGTAACAACACAGCTCACAACATTGCATTGAGGGCTCACACAGAGCAGCAAGAAACTAGAAATGTTCACAGCACCCCAAACTGCAGTACCAGCTCTATTCTAGAGTCCAAGTTCCTCGTCTGTGGAAACACAGGGCAAGCTTTCTGGGACACAGTCTTGACAAGCATGGCAGAGACTTGTACTCTAGAGATACCTCTCAAGAGGAAAGACATGCCAACGGCAGAGGTAGAGGCATACATGCAAGATCCCTTGTCTTACTGGGCTAAGAAGATATGTTTGGGGAGGACTGGCCAATGTGGCAGTGGGACTGCTGTCCTGCCCACCAACTAGTGTGGCCAGTGAGAGAGGGTTCTCTCAGGCAGGAGACACTGTCAGTTCTCACAACACATACTTGGAAACACAATCTGTGTAAAAGCTCATTTTCCTTAAGGTCTACTTATTACTGGGCTTTCCTGAAGTATTTCTGAAGTAAGAGAGAATTGAAGTCTCTGCTCACAGTATGAGGTATGCCATGCTTTAGTCTACTGCCCCTCCTTCTGCCTCTTTCATTTTTCTACCAGCTATTCCAAGTTTGTGCTCTCCTACTCAACTTTGATTCACCCATGCTGTTGGCACAGTTCCCACCCACCACAGGCTAGCTGCTGCTCCAGTCTACCTGCCAGTGCTGCCCAAGGTATTTGCCCACTCCCCAGTGCAATCTGTCCTCTACATCCTCAATTTCCTACTAGTATTCCCACTGTTCAGGGTTCAATCATTTTGCCCATTACAGTCATTTCTTAATACACAGACACTCCTCACTGTTGGCATGCACTCTTTTTGTTTAGCATAATCACTGGAAAGGTTAACTGCAATCAAATTTATAACTAGCACTCAGCAATAATGTGCTTCTCCCTCTCTAGAACAAAATCCTCCATCACCTTTATCCACGGTTTCTGAAGCTATCTGCTGAAGCTATTTTGGATTGTTGCATCTGCAATTTACCTTTTGTTATGGGCTTAAGTCCAACATAAAGCTGATATAGGAAAACAGTGTCCTAGTGTTCTGTTGGCTCCCCCAATTATGCAAGCAGTAGCATATTTGTTCTTGTAATCCCTAAGTATAGTATTGTTTGTGCAAAAGGCTGCAACATGAGCTGTGCAATGACTACAATGACTCCACTCCTCATCCATCATTTAGAACTGGGTGTCCACCGATGCAACATTATTTATGCAAGTGAACTACAGTGGTGCCTCGCTAGACGAGAATAATCCATTCCAGCGAAATCGCTGTAGAGTGAAATCCTCGTGAAGCGAAATAAAAAAGCCCATTGAAATGCATTGAAAACCATTCAATGCGTTCCAACAGGCGAAATACCTCAGCGTCCAGCGAAGATCTTCGATAGGGCGGGCATTTTCTGCTTCCTGTATAGCGAGGAAGCCATCCCAAAACACAGCGGGAGCCATTTTACACACTGGCCGGCCATTTTGAAGACCCAACGATCAGCTGTTTTGATCGTCATTAAGCGAAAAACCGGTTCCCGAAGCAGGGAACTGGTCATCATAAAGGGTTTTTTCCTATGTAAACATCATTTTGTGATCACTATAGCGGTCGCAAAAAAAACATTGTACAGCGAAAAACCCATCATGCGGGGTAACCGTTTAACGAGGCACCACTGTAATTCTGTCATATTGGCCATAGAGCCTAAGACAGCACATGCCCTTTCTTAGGTGGTCTTCCAATATCATGGAACTAAGGTTCACTAAAAGTGTCAAGACTGGCATAGACATAATTAGCTTTTCCACACTTTCTACATCATGTGCTTGTAGACTGTGCCTTAAATTAAGGGGTAAACTGACTAATATGAACTTATTGGTTGTATTCTGTAGAAAGAGGAAACATTGGTTCTAGGGAAGTTAGACCTATAAAAAAGGACATATACGTTGGCTCCTAACAGAACTGCAGGCAACAACGAATCAGCATTAGATCTGCAACAGATACAGTTGTGTTCAAAATTATTCAGCCCCCAATGCTGTAAAGGGGTTTAGGGACTATAGTGTACATTTGGAATTGTATTCAGAATGAAATCCTACAAGGACGTTTTAAAGAACCAAATGCAACTAAAATAACATCAATTGTTTATGTAATACAGTAGTAAATGTTTCTTTTGTGGTTTCTTCATTGCCACAATTATTCAACCCCTTAAAGACTACCACTCTGAAGAAGAGAGGTTCATTCAGGTGTTTTCGATCAGGTATTGAAAACACCTGTGGATGTCACCGAGCACCAATCAAGCATAAAAAGCACCAATTAGGCAGCTTTAAAAGGACTGTGATACTCAGCTCCTTCCAGACAATTACTGGTGTGGTTACAAACATGGTGAAGTCAAGAGAATGGTCCAGGAAGACAAGAGAAGAGGTGATTTGTCTTCACAGGAAGGGCAATGGCTATAAGAAGATTGCAAAGAAGTTAAACATACCAAGAGACACCATAGGAAGCATCATTCACAAATTCAAGGCAAAGGGCACTGTTGAAATGCTACCTGGTCGTGGAAGAAAGAAGATGCTGACTTCGACTGCTGTGCGCTACCTAAAGCGTAGAGTGGTGAAAAGTCCCCGTGTGACTGCTGAGGAACTGAAAAAAGATTTGTCAGATGTGGGTATAGAAGTTTCAGCTCAGACAATAAGGCGCACACTGCGTGATGAAGGTCTCCATGCCAGAACCCCCAGGCGCACCCCCTTGCTGTCTCCCAAGAATAAGAAGAGTCGACTGCAGTATGCCAAAAGTCATGTGGGCAAACCACAAAAGTTGTGGGATAGTGTTCTGTGGACTGATGAAACAAAATTAGAACTGTTTGGGCCCATGGATCAACGCTATGTTTGGAGGAGGAAGAACAAGGCATATGACGAAAAGAACACCTTGCCTACTGTGAAGCATGGCGGAGGGTCAATAATGCTTTGGGGCTGTTTTGCTTCTGCAGGTACAGGGAAGCTTCTGCGTGTACAAGGTACCATGAATTTTCTTCAGTACCAGGAGATATTGGATGAAAATGTGATGCAGTCCGTCACACACCTGAGGCTTGGGAGATGTTGGACCTTTCAACAGGACAATGATCCCAAGCATACCTCCAAGTCCACTAGAGCATGGTTGCAGAGGAAAGGCTGGAACATTTTAGAGTGGCCATCGCAGTCACCAGACTTAAATCCGATTGAGAACCTCTGGTGGGACTTAAAGAAAGCAGTTGCAGTGCGCAAGCCTAAGAATTTGACTGAACTGGAGGCTTTTGCCCATGAAGAATGGGCGAAGATACCCGTAGATCGCTGCAAGACACTTGTGTCAAGCTATGCTTCACGTTTAAAAGCTGTTATAACTGTAAAAGGATGTTGTACTAAGTACTAAGATTGAATGTCACTTGGGGGTTGAATAAAAACTAATAATGATGTGAGCACAGAAAAGACATTTGTGGTTATTTCATTATAAACTTAAGGTTATATTTCTCTGACCTACAAGTGCCTCTTTCATGTAAATGTAAGCAAGATGACTGAATGATCAAAATCAATGTCAAAATGGCCAAAACATTCAATTTCAGTGGGGGCTGAATAATTTTGAACACAACTGTATGTCTGTACTGGGTCACTTTTAACTATCCCAACTGCACTTTACATCTCCAAACAGGAAAAAAACAAGTGGAGTGACCATTGCATTTAACTGTGGATGTTTTATCAGATAAGGCATTAAACTTTCTGTAGCAAGCTAAACTCAATGCAAAGAAGATCATTAACAGCCATTGGAAAAAGAGCCAAAGGTGACAGCTGCACATGTATTAGGTTCCTGACATTTTTCTAGGATCTCTAGCTTAGAAGACTGTGGAACAACTTTGGTTAAATCTGTGGAGGGTAGGGCAGTGCAAACTGCATACAGCAAACAGATCACTATTTGAAGCTATGTGCAATAGTGAAGCAAAGGCAGAGTGGTACAAGTATGTTCCATGCCTATATGCCAAAAATAGCTTCCAAATTATTAACACAGCATCTACACAGCTGAAACCAAGAAAAAGCTACAGCATATATAACCTAGGCATATGAAGCATTATACGGTATTTTGTCCTTTTTACAGCTTTAACTTTAATTTTTAATTATTTTTTTGGCATATCATCAGAGGCAAAACCAGTGAATCCCCTTCCCTTGCCATTTAAATTTTTATTCACTTCATTTATTTTGTGATTTAAGATTTCAAGCAGAATTTACAACCAAAGGGGCTAAATGCTTGCTTGAAAGAAAGTGGAAAATTCCACAACACAGAATTTTGCAGTCATCCCACTTTCTAAACTTCTTCTGGACCCTTGTGAAATACAGAAATTCCCTTTTTATATGGGTAGCATTATAATCCCTGTTACCTGAAAAACATAGTTGTAAGTCTGAAAACATGGCAATGTTACTATTGTACTAAAAACAACAAAGCCCAATGGTGCCTTGAAGACTGACACAGTCAGTGATAGCATGAGCTAGAGATGAAGGTATTCGTATTTGTATACAAATATCCCCCCCACAGGTGGAGATAACGATGGCTCAACCACTATTCCTCGGCTAACGCGAGCTCGATGGAGCCTTCCTATTGCCAGTCCTTGCAGAAGACATGATGACAAGCCTCTCTGCCAGGTTGCAGAGTGGCTAATCCATCGTGAGCAACAGAGCGATAGGAAGGCTCCGTCAAGCTCACGTCACCAGCGGAATCGTCAGTGGACCGTCCAGCCCCATGGACCCGGACCCTTGTTATCTCCACCTGTGGGGGGATATTCATATTTGTATACGAATACCCCCATCTCTAGCATGAGCCTAGAACTATAGCCCAGATCATCAGTTGCATTAACTGTTTTCCAGAATTTCAGACACATAAACACTGCAAGTGATGGAAAGTCAGATTACTGACAGCAAGACCAGAGGGAAATTCAGTGTGGAAAGTAAATGACAGTGATCATTATATTATTAACAAAGGATATTCACAAAACTGTTCCCAACAAAATGATTTTAAACTGAACATGGAGCAGTAAACAAACTCAGAATGCCTACAGGGTTTAAGTGTGAACTTAATTTGTGACTTTCACACAATTGGATACCTCCCCTTCACTGGGTTATCGTCTTTCAGATTTAGCATTTTATCACTAAATAAATAAACAGCTCAGATTAGGAGTTTATTTTTAATGCCCTACATTGGCCAGTAAGTACGCAATATGACGAAGTGTAACTCTCTATGAACAAAGTACCTTCCCTGACCTTTGAATAATCACAGACAAGCTCTTAATATCTAGAATAAAGAGGAAAATTTGAACCATAACTTTGAACCCTTCATCTTAAGAAGTCTGGCACAGCAGTAATATCATTTGGCAAGTGAATTCTAAACACATTCATTCTGGAAAATGCAAGATATCTTTTGAATCTTACTAAGCTTACTAAACAACTGCCAAACTCCTATTGCACAGTTACATTTGTGGTGGGCAAATGGTGGCATTTGCAGCTAATAAATAAATCTTTGATTAGATTTTCAGGCATGCTCCAATCCACAGACTGGCACACTCCTGAATGTCCTGAGAGGGCTTCATTATCCAACAGCAAGAAACCACTGGGAGACACATGATCTGCTTCAACTGTGCATATGGGTTTTGACCACAGGTGTATTCTCAAAGCATTCTAGTTTTGATTTTCACCCCCCTGAAATCAAGGGGATCAACTGGACTCAGTCTGGAACCAATGTAATTATATCAACAAAAGGGCAGACATAAAGTAGGAAGTTTTAGTCTTAATTTATCTTGATATTTTATCCCTTACAGAGAGTATCAAACATTTAGTACATTCATCAACAGATAGAATACTCTTATGGTTTATTTTTTTTAACACACAAGTGGACATTTAATTCATTTATCTGAATTGCATACTTACAGGTCCCATAATAGTTGCTTGCCAATGGAACACTGAAAAACACAAAGTAATATTTACCTTATTAAAGTTTAAAGTGTAGCCAAATAAGCAAAAGGTATCTTGCCATCAACTATAAAGATCTTACAGTCATCTCCAACAGGTCCTGCTGAACAGTGTGCAGGTGGGTCACGCTGCAGATCACTTAGCTCCTACAGGAAACATGAAAACATTTGCAATGTTACTTAAACAAACCCAAGATTATTTATCCAAATTTGGATCTTCTTTAGGTTTGATCAAGTGCTTCCAAAATAGACAACTAAAAGCTAAAGAGAAATTTGAATCAATACCAGAGGATATAGTCTTATAGCATGGAAGGACCAGCCATTCAGCACTAAGCATGACAGTATTAGCCAGCACACCTCCATATCTTTACTCGATAAAATAATGTACATTTTGTTCTCACTAACAGAAGGAGACTCCAGGATAGTGAAATCCATTTTACCATATTTCAGTTCTGAAATTGTTACCCTGACATGGGAAATCTTGACGTGGACGTCAAAATACCTTGATAAATAGATTACAGGCAAAAGCCAAAATCAAAATTATGGTACAGTCTAAATCAGTGGTCTCCAACCTTTTCCAAACCGCAGACTGGTTGAGGGGCCAGGATCCATGCATGGTGGGGCAGGGCACACCTCCGCGCTTGCGGGGGAGCAGGGCGCATGCTCGCACATGTGCAGCGGGGCGCACTCATGGGTAGGGCATGCTTGCACAGGTTGTGCTTGCGGGGGCAGGGCATGCTTGCATGCATGGGTGGAGCACCTGTGCACACGTGTGCAGGTGGGCGGGCCATGCATGTGGGTGCGCATGTGTGTGGGGAGTACGTGCAGGGGGGTGGGAGATCTGTCTCCACGGTCTGGTCCTGCCAAGGCCATGGCCTAGAACTGGGCCGCGGACGAGGGCTGGGGACCCCTGGGCTAAACTGTGACTTTCACACAACTGAATACCCCCCCTTCATTGCACAATCTATTTCCAGATTTAGCATTTTAATGCTAAATGAGCAAACATTGCATTTGGTTTTGACACAGGAGAGGGCCCTCCCCCTGACTTTGGAACTCCCTCCAACAGGAGGCTTGACTGGCCCATCTTTATTGTCCTTCCGCAAACAGGCAAAGTCCTTTCTCTGCAGGCAAGCTTTCCCTTAGCAACTGGCTAGCTGCCTGAGTTGGCTTTTTTAATGGATTGTTGTGCCTTACTGCTTTGAATGTGTTTTTTGTATTGCATTTGTTTACCATGTTTTACCATGGTATTTTTCTGATCCTTATTAGTATTGAGATACTTATTCTTTTTAGCTTTAAATATTGTCTTTTAATGATATAAGCTGCCTTGGATCCTTTTTAAGGACAAAGGTGGGGTAAAATATTTTAAAGAAAATAAATGATAATAAATACAACACAATATAGCATACTGCAACAATTAGAGCTAGGCAGTGATAGCTTATCTAGTGCCCTTCAGATGGCTCATGCTACAAATCCCATCAGCCCCAACCTGCACAACCAGCAATAACGAACTAAAGAAACTGCAGTCCAGATCAGCTGGAAGGTTGCCTGCCCCACGATGTGGAAAGAAGAGTACATACAGTGGTGCCCTGCATAGCGACGACAATCCATGCAGCAAAAATTGTCACTATGTGTATTCGTCGCTATGCAAAATTAAAAACCCCATAGGAATGCATTGAAACTCCGTCAATGCATTCCTATGGGCTTAAAACTTACCTTTTAAGCGAAAATCCTCCATACGGTGGCCATTTTAGCTGCCCGGTAGCAAGGAATCTGTCCCTGTTTTACCCAGCGGCCATTTTGGAACCGCCGATCAGCTGGAGAAAAATCATCGCTATGCGAAAATCGGTAAGCGAAACAGCTTACCGATCATCGCAAAGCGATTTTCCCCCATAGGAAACATCGTTATGTGATCGCAAAAGCGGATTCGTCGTTAAACGGGGCGCCTGTTATGCGAGGCACCACTGTAAGTACAAAAGATGAGGGGAATCTGTTAATTACAAAAAACCCTCAAAATTTGGAAAATGGAAGAAGGCTGTTACGGGATGCTTTCTTGCAGTATTTAATTATGTCAACTGCATTATAAGATTTTTGTATTTGTGTGTTTTTTTTGCTCTACATTTCCTTCTTTTTCTGCATGATAATGTTAAGGCTTAAATCCTACTTTAACACACAGACAATAGCCTTCCACTATTTTCCACAAGAGGGAGTTTCTCATTTCAACTAGAGCTTGCAGTTCCACTTTCAGTGCTGGACAAACATTCTGTGCAATGGTGGCTAATTTATGCAAGCTTAATTTTATTTTACTTCCCATTTTCTGAATCCAGGGTGGCCTATATGTACAATTCATTCAAAACAAAACATTTTGAAAATGCAGCACATAAAACATAGGTTACATTACTCAATGTAGCTCAACATCATCTGAAGCTCAACATAAAAAAAAAAAAACTAAGACCATGGCCACTGGTCCCATCACCTCCTGGCAATAGAAGGGGAAGATATGGAGGCAGTGACAGATTTTACTTTCTTGGGCTACATGATCACTGCAGATGGGGACAGTAGCCATGAAGGCTTCTTGGGAGGAAAGCGATGACAAACCTAGACAACATCTTAAAAAGCAGAGACATCACCTTGCCGACAAAGGTCTGCATGGTCAAAGCTATGGCTTTTCCAGTAGCGATGCATGGAAGTGAGAGTTGGACCATAAAAAAGGCTGACCACCAGAGGATTGATGCTTTTGAATTGTGGTGCTGGAAGAGACTCCTGAGAGTCCCCTGGACTGCAAGGAGATCAAACCTATCCATTCTGAAGGAAATCAACCCTGAGTGCTCACTGGAAGGACAGATCCTGAAGCTGAGGCTCCAATACTTTGGCCATCTCATGAGAAGAGAAGACTCCCTGGAAAAGACCCTGATGTTGGTAAAGTGTGAAGGCAAGAGGAGAAGGGGACGACAGAGGATGAGATAGTTGGACAGTGTCATCGAAGCAACCAACATGAATTTGACCAAACTCCGGGAGGCAGTAGAAGACAGGAGCCCCTGGCATGCTCTGGTCCATGGGGTCACAAAGAGTTGGACACGACTTAATGACCACACAACAACAACATTACTCAAATGCAATCTGTACAGGTCAGGTTTTCATTGCATGCCCAAAAGGAAGTTGTGAATGGATTGGTCCAGGAAGAGAATATGCAACATACTATCAGATGGTGATTAATACACTGAAATAGACAATGGTAGAAATCCAGTAGTAAATTTATTTATTTATTTATTTATTTATTTATTTATTTATTTATATCCCGCCTATCTAGTCGACTCAGGACCACTCTAGGCGGTGCAACTGGAATAAGCTCACTGAATCAATGAACTCATCAAATTTATCATAATTTTAAACATACTACTCATCAGTTTTGTTATCATTTTACTGAACTGACACAAATTTATTTCTTCATTACAATGTTACTGTATGGTGCTGGATACTTAATTCACCGTACACAAAGAAACAACTACACCACTAGTCATTAAGACCATATCTGAAATAAAGTAGTTGTCATAAGAGTCTATAAGTGATATTGTCAGTGACCTTCCAAAAAAAGAGCATCAAGGTCTTACCCAACTACTTGCAACTAATTTTATTTTGAGAAACATGACACATGCCCATCCAGGGAGGTCATTTTGGTATACACATGTCCAAAGAAGCCAACTGCAAAATCTTTCAGAAGTACAGTTCCCTTTTCAATCCCAGGGCTCAGGTTTCACTCAGAGGAGAGAACAACTTATCTATGCAAATGTCAGATACTGCCAGCAAGAAAGAATCCACAAGTGTCAGATTGCCAAGTGTCAAGGAAGCTCAAGGCAGTGAACTCTTAAATAAAACTGTATTGCTGCAAGCAGAGAAAGACCTGCTATTTTTAGAAAAAGTGACAGAACACCACTAGTTGTCACTTACAGCCCACAACTGAGACCACTCACATGCATTCTAAGCGATCTCCAAGCTATCCTTGACAAGAACACTTCACTCTCCAAAGCCTTTGGGGGGAGATTCATACATGCCTACAGACAACCCCCACCCCAACCTGAAGCAAGTACTAACACACAGCAACACAGACAGAGGGACTAAAACCTGCCACAGAGCCAGATGCCAACTCTGCCCACACATCTATTCTGGCAACACGACCACAGGACCTAACAATACCACATACAATATCAAAACACCTTCAATTGATCCTCAACTAATGTGATCTATGCCATCTTTCACCAACTATGCCGCTGTGCACTCTACATAGGACACTCTGTGAAAGATCTGAAAGTCACTATTTTAAAACAGAATAATTACAAATCGAGAATATAGAGGGAAACAGATGAAATAAAATTTATACATTTGATGGACACCACAGAAATGGATTCAATATAAGCCTAGGTTTCTTAAGTCAATACCAGATGTATCACTTCTGCTGTTATCCACTGCCATGGTTATTTTCTTCACAACTATCAAGCCCATCTCTTATCACAAGTTAAAACTGCCTATATTCTCTATATTAAGACACGTGATTCCTCTGCTACCTTCTTTCATGTTTTTCTTTCCCCTCTTGAAGTTCAATTGCATTTTCAATCCCCCTACCCCCTTCTCTCTTTTCTCCCCCCCATCTCTGCTCAGACATGGTGTCTGTTTTGTGTCTTCTTGAAGAAATTTTACCACAGGACCCTAAAATAAACATAGGCCTAATTGCTGTATGTAACCAATGAACACTTCGAATATGAAACTGATATTTCATCTACATTTTGTTCTGTTTCTTTATGTATGACAAAGTGGACATGTTCACGAAAGCTTACATTAAAATATAATAGCCTTTAAGGTGCCATATGTTTTTGTCTTTTTGTTTTGTTTCTTTGGATTTTGCCTGATCTGCTATTTTTACACTTCCCAGCTTCAGATGAAATAAAATATCCTTTAAAAACTATCTAAAATTTCAGCTGTGTTAGGCCAAAAACACTGAAAAACTGAATTATACAGAAACTCAACTACTGATATAATGTCTGTGCTATAAACCAAAAATAGCTATAAATTCAACTTCTAGCAAAATTCAGCAGGGACAGTGAGCTTAATAAGATGTTTTATATCCCTTTTCCAGTCACAAGCAATACCAAGAC